GGGCACGGCGTCCACAGGGCTCAAACCCTTCCTGCCGCTCCCGCCTCCATTTGCTGAAGGGATCACAACCATCCCATCTCAGAATTGTGGTTTCGTCAGGACAGGCCCTAAACCAGTTCTCTTCCAGGGAAACCCCCTTCTTCCCTTGGCTTATTTACACAAAGGAACCATCTGAACTGAAAAATGGAATTTCTGACCTGATTTGGTACAGAGATAAACAGGAAACGGCCACTTAAAGAAAAAAATGTCCTCCGACCCCGGCTCCCAGGACACCAGCCGGGAGCTCTGGCGCGTCCCGGGCACCGAGGGTCAGCACCTCGCCCCACGGGGACTCGGAGCTTGAGGGAACACGAAGGCGGCACCTCGAGCCAGGAGGGCTGCGACCACCGCCAAGAGGCTCCCGGCCGGGGGCGCCCTTGTGGCTGACTTCTCCGGAGGGGGTCTCCCCACAGCCCCGCACGCTGCCCTGGGCCCTGTTCTGCAGCCGTCGCACGAGCCCGGGTGCTGCCCCTGCCACAGCGGCGTCCTCGCGGGCAGCGACGGGCCGGTCCGAACCCCGCGGGCGGCGGCGGCCCCCCTCACGTGGGTGTGTCCCCAGCCCGGCCAGGCAGCCGCAGCTCCCGCACCCCTGGGGCTCCAGTGGGCCCCCAGTACACGGGGCCCCGAGCCCAGCGGCCCCCGAGCCCGGGGCGAAGGGCCTGGCGCCCGGACCACCGAGGCGGGCACGGCCAGCCCCGAGTCACCGCAGTGACAGGCCAGCCGTGAGCCTCGTCCTGCCACAGGCTTCTCGAGCAGGGTCTTCGAGCAGGTGACAGTGTCTATGAAATGCCTGAAACGTGCCCACGAGCCCCACACAGGCCTCAGGCCAAGGGCACCGCCACCAGGGGCTGGGAGGGGAGGGCGTGGGAGGGACCGGAGTGCAGAGGCAAAGAGAGGACGCTGGTGCCCCCTGCTGCCCAAAGGGGCCGCGGGGACAGCCAGACACGGCTGGAGCACCCACACGACAGACCGACACAGGACAAGTACCCATGACACACATCACACACACACTACAAACAGCAGGTATGCACGGCACATGTAGAGGAGACACAAGCACACACAAGAAACATGCATCAGACACATAACATGCACACACAGCACACAACAGGCAGGAATGACAGGCACCCACACGACACGCATGTGACAGGCGCACACAACACCGGCCAGATAAGACAGGCGCGTGCAAAACACACATGACACACAGGAGACAGATGGCGAACACAACAGATGCACGACAGGCACACACAGCAGACACAGGACACAATGTGAAAGCAGACACATTCTACATCAGAAGAAAGGGAAATGAAGCAGCAAAGTCGCTGCTTCTCAACACAGGCCACTCAGGTTTATCTGAAACAAGCTTTTCTCTCAAGGAACCGCCCGGGGACCCGAGAGAAGGATCGGGACTCGGGCATCGGCGTGACCGGCGCCTCCGCTGCCGGCAGCGTGGCCAGCTGGGGCGATGCGGGAGGGCAGGCCGAGCAGCCGGCAGCCGCAGGGGCAGGCGCGGGGGAGGAACGCACCCCTTGCCATCTCCCGGAGCAGCGGGCTGGCCTTCTGGGGCGGGGGGCGGGGGGCGGGCTGCGGGCTGGAGCCTGCCTTCCTGCCAGGGGCCCCGACCCCTGCCCCTGCCCCTGCCCCTGCCCCTACCCCGCCCCCGTCAGCGCCCGGCCCCGCCCCCCATCAGCGCCCTGGCCCCGCCCCGTCAGCGCCCTGAGGACAGGCCCCGCAGCGCTGGCTCGGCTGCTGCGCAGGCTCCCGCTGCTGGGCTGCAGGGGCAGTGGTGGAGCCTCGGCCTCCCACGGGCTCCTTTCGCTTCCACGACGATGCACTTTTCTCGTAAAATGATCAGAAAGAAAAGCTGGAGGTTGGTTCTTCTCCTTCACCTGCCTCAGAGGAGAGTTTACCGTGTGCGCAACGCACGCCACCGGCCTGACTCCAAGAAGGACTTCGCACAGCCCAGCCGGGGGCAGCGGCAGAGCCCAGTCGACGGTCGGTGCCCGCCTGCTCCCCGCGCGGCAGAGGTGCCAGCGATGGGGGGGCGGGCGTGCGGCCTGACGGGCGGTCCGAATCCGCGGGGACTGTGACCCACCGCAAACTCGCGGTCGCCCTCTGAGCAGTGCAGAGGACCGGGCCCTCTGGGAGCCGCGGCGCCGGAGCCGCGGGGACACGAGCTGCCCGTCAGCGTCCCTCCCAAGGGCCGGGGGCACGGCTTCCTCATGTGTGGCCCTAACACCCAGCTCTGGGCTCATCCCACCTTCCACGTCGACCTGCGAGGCCATGGTGATGCTCCAGAGCGTGCGCGCGTGCGGGCAAGAGCCCTGTCCCGGGGCACACGTGCACTGACAAGTGCTGTCTCTTTCTAACCCTCGCCCAGCGATATGGTTATCGATTCTACAGAGAGAGGGGCGAGGGGAGAGAGAGACACGTGGATGCGAGAGAGACGTCGACTGGTTGCCTCCCGTACGTGCCCGCCTGCGGGCCAAACCCGCAACCCAGGATGTGCGGGGATGGAACGCGTGGCCCTTCGGGGCACGGGACAACGCTCCCACTCAGCCACACTGGCCAGGGCCGCTAACACGCACATTTTTGCATATTGCAACCAACAGGGCTTTAAACCTTGTTGTTTATTGCGAATAACAATTTCAAGACTCCCCAAGAGCAGGGCACTCACACGGTCTGGTTCCCAGACTCTGCGTGGGGCCCCTTTTCTGTAGGTCTCTTCCTGTCCCCCACCGTAAGCTGCACACAGAATTTCAGGACACCTGCCGGAGGGCACAGCCGGCGGCCCTGACCGAGGACGCTCTCTGCTAGAAGCGTCACCCCGCAGGTGCACGGCAGGGGCCTGCGCGGCCGGCCTCCCCCACCCCGCCCTTGGCGACCCCCAACGGCGTGGCGCGGAGGCGAGGCCCACGGCCCAGTGGCCCTCAGTCTCCTGATGGGAAGGCCCCTCCGCTGTCCCAACTCCCGCGCAGGCCACAGAAACAAGAAGTGGGGCCGCAGCAGAGCAGGGACCCGGGCAACACCTGCAGACACGCAGCACAGAGCGCCTCTGCGGCACTGCCAGCCCGCGCCGCGGACGAGCCTGGGGACCCGTGACGACACCCGCACGGGGCTGCCCCCCAGCCCGCGCGGAGAGTGTGAGGCAAGGAACGTGTCACTGGGAGACGAGGGGGGCCGGGCGCCACCCTGGGTCCCCGAAAGGCCCGAGAGGCCCCGGGGCATGGGGCAGCGGGGGCAGCGTCTGTGCACTTGAGGGCAGGGTCGCCGGGGGCGCGCCTCCCGCAGGCCCCCTCGCGCGCAGGCAGGAGCAGCCCTGCCCCCAGCCCGCAGGACGTGGTGCCAGCGACGGCGCCCCCAGCCCCGCCGCCGCGTCCCAGAGCAGAGGGGACGGCGCTCTGCAGGGAGCTGAGGCCGCCGGCCTTGTGTTACGCAGGAGGAGGGCTGGTCCGAGGGGCCGGTCCCCAGGGTGGAGAGCCGCTCCTCAAGACGCCTCTGGTTCTGGGCGCACGTAGAAACTTCGGGTTGCCTCCCACCATGGAAGCGGCCACCCGCCCTTTAAAGGGCGGCGGGGCGGACGCCGGCGGCAGGCAGGGGGAGGCAGAGCGCCAACAACGCCGGGCCGGCGGGGCGAGGGCCGCCCCACCTGCGGGGACAGCAGGCCCACAGGGAGCAGGGAGGCGCGGCAGTTGGGGGAGACGGCACCACGCCCACCCAGCGCGGTGGGGCGCGGACCTGAGGGCCCAGTTACTGCTCCCTCCCAGGTGCGGGCAAGTCTGCCCCTTATATACCCAAGTGTGAAAGTGCGTTTCCTTCCCAAATACCCTAAGGGAGGACTCAGGGCGGGTGCCCCGCCGCCACAGCCCGCAGGGCGGTGCGGGACCTTCCCCAGAGGCCAGGTGACGCAGGAAGAAACAGACCCTCCAACACTGACGGCAGACGAAGAACAGAGCCTCAGAGGGGCTCCTGGGACGCGGTGGCCTCCGAGCGATGGGCGATGCAATTAAAAGAGAAGCAGGTGAGAGAAAGGGCCTGGGGCAGAGGGACCTCGCAGAAAATACTGGTTTTGCCCTGGAGAAGAAAAGTACTTTTAGAAAGGAGGTGTGACGACAGAGCAGAAGGAACGGCGTGCAGAGCCCTGTGCCGGCAGACGGCGCGAGCCTGGGGTCCGGAGACAGGCACCCTGGTGCCCACACGGACGGCCCCACCGACGCCGACGTGAGGGCATGAAGGGAGAGATGCGGCCGAACGTGCAGCGGGCGCCTCAGGACCGCAGGGCGCTGGCGAGCGTCTTGGCGCATGGTGCCCACGAGGGGCGTGTGTCAGAAACCGTGCGGCGACCACCGCAGGGCCCTGTTCCGGCCCGCACACAGGAATAGAGAGAAGGGGAGAGGCTTTCCTCTGGGGCCGGGACTGGAGGGCCAGCCATGGGCAATGGCGGAGAAAGGGGAACGCGGGCAGGTGCAGGCCACAGACACCCGGGCTGCACACACCCTGGCGAGCAAGTGCGGAGACGCCCACAGGGCACGGGCGCGCGCCCGTGTGGGTGCAAGGGCGGGAAACAGTCATGGCTGTGCGTGCGTGCACACACACGCACGCACACGCACACGCACGCAGGCCACAGGGGGGCGCCAGCGTGGCTGCCTTCCGGAGCGGGGCGGCTGGTGCGCCTGGGAGGGCGCCCGCACCCATCATCCCAGAGCCGCAGGCACAGGACCCGCTCCCCGCCCCGCCCCGCCCCGAGGGGCCAGCGCTCCCGGAACGGCGCGCATTCCCGGCCCGGCCGCGCGGACTGGCCACCCCGTTACCCGCGGCACCACGTGCCCACAGCAGCGCAGCTTCTCTGTGAAGGCTGCGCCCCCGCGGATCGCAGACCCCATAAATCCCGCACTGCACCATCAGTGCTGTGGCAGCAGCCTCCCGCGCGCCCCGGGCGGCGCAGCCAGGGGCTGAGTACTCACTCTTGTTGTAGCAGGTGGCCAGCACGCCTTTGTCCGCGGGACTCGCGCTGATGTGCCAGATTTCACCCACTTGGTGGAGGAGGACATTTTTGTTGATGATGTTGTTTTCGTCGTCAAAGTCTATGATGTGGATCTGCAAAGACAACGGAGGGTGCGTCAGGACCTCACTTAATGAAACAGCGACGCAAGGAGAACCGAAGGTGCCCTCGGGGTCTGCCCGCGCCGCTCCGCACGCACCCTTACGGCGTCCCTCCCCAAAGACGGGCACGACACCCCTGCATGTGAAGACAGCAACTACATAGCACGCCCGCGCCCGCCCCCCCCCCACCGGCATATCTGGTCCTGAAGAGACAAGACACCAAAGCCCTGGCCCCAGGCGGCCCAGTCGGGCCACGGCCGGTGTCGCGGTGGGTCGTCCGGGGTTGCGCGAAGCAGCCAGAGCCCCTGGGGCCTGCAGGGCGGCTGGGGGCGAGGGGGGCGCGCAGCCCCCCGGGCCTGGGACAGGCCAGCTCGGCCCCGCGGGGGCGCCACACATGCCGCGCGCCGCTGAGGCGGGACAGACCCCGCAGACGTCGGGCGCCCGCACGTCTCACGCTTCCTTGTTTAGAATGTCAAGGCTCTGCTCCTGTAACACTCACTGCACGAGTGTGGCATTTCAGCCACTAAATGAACAGTAAAACATAAAATCTCCATGCTTTTCTGGATCATTTTTGGAAGAAGAAAACTCATTTTCACTGGCCTGGCTGGCGCGGCTCAGTGGATCGAGCACCGGCCTGCAAACCATAGGTCGCCCCTTTGATTCCCAGGCAGGGCCCAGGCCTGGGCTGCAGGCAGGTCCCCAGTTAGGGGCGTGCGAGAGGCCACCGCACATCAATGTTTCTCTCCCTCTCTTTCTTCCTCCCTTCCCCTCTCTCTAAAGATAAATAAATAAAATATTTCCAAAACTAATAATTTTCACATCTACTCTCTTATCAATACCCAAGTCAATCAGAAAAACATTAATTTCAAAAATAAATGTATACTAAGAAAGTAATCACGGATCTGCAGAAAGGCTCCCATCAGAGAAGCTCGCGGGGGTGCTGATCACCACGACGACGAAGCAGAGGCCCCCTCGGTGTCCGGCAGCGGGGGCTGCTCACGAGGACGGCCGCGCCCGACCGCTCTGTGGCCGCGGGACGCGCTCGGGAGGGGGAGAGCCGCCTCAGGGCCCGCGCAAGGGCCACCTCTCTGCTGAGGGCGAGGCTCCCGCCGCCCCGAGCTCACGCTCCGCGCATTTTCTGTCTAAACAGCAGGCGCGTCCAAGTGACTGAGGACCCGGAAGGGGACAGCACCTTCAGATGGTGGAGGGCAGCGCCCTTCCTTTCCTTCCTTGTGGTTCGTTTGTATTTTTAGCCTTTACGTCCTGACTCACAGGCACTGCTGTGCCATCGGAGCAAGCACTCAGTGCCGCTTTCAACGATGTTCCCATGGCCCCAAAAGCTTCAGGGTGTCTCCACTCCATCCTGACCGCTTCCCCGCACAGGGTCTGCAGGTGACAGCAACGCCCAGGCCCATAGGGGGCCACTTTGGACTCAGAGCAGATTCAAACCCCGCCTCCGCCCCTGGACCCTGAACCTCAGCTCCCTGAGGATGGACCGTCTGCTCTCGCTGGAGCTCGAGGGCTGTCCTGGGGATAAACGCGCGCAGCCGTAGTGACGAGTAAACCTCGACGGAGAAGGCGCGAGCCTGACAGCGCATGGCACAGCCTGCGGGGGCGAAGGGGAAAGGCCGACTGGCGCCGGCTCGGAGCAAGGCCTGCGGCCGGCCGGGCGGCGCGTAACCACCACACCCAGCGTTCCTGACCTGTCCAAGGTCTTCAAACGTCTGTAACAGCTTAAAATGAAGGTCAAACCTACCGACTTCAAACTACCATTATTGAAATTGTTACAGCTGGGTTGACCCGTGCGAGGTGGTAAAGATTTAGGCATGAGAGTCATGAAATGCAGTAGGAAGCCCGTGAAGATCTTAACCAGCGCCCCCCTCGGAGAGCCAGGGCTCAGAGGCGGGGGGCCCAGGCCCGACGTGAGCACGTGAGCTGCGCCTCCGCCCTGCCTGTCCATTCCATCCCTCTTACTCAACGAACAGTGAACAAACTCTTGAAAATGTTTTAAGTGCGTAAAATTGAAAATGAACACTTAAGGACCCCCTCTGAGCAAGCTCCACCCTGCCACGGAGCGCAGCCCTCCGGGGTTCACTGAACAGCCCTGGTGCGGGGAGAGGGCTCCCTGCCGCCAGCAGACCTCCCGCCCACAGGGCCTCGCCACCCGCGCGCCCCTGCCCCGTCGCATCCCTCGCAGAACGCGCCCTGCCACCGGCCTGGCCCTCCCTTGAGGACAACGTGTGCCCGTGCGGGTGGGAGGCCCCGCGCAGAGAGCTGGCCCGTCGCCCCGCGCTTCGCCGCCGCCTCCCGGGCGCACGCGAGAGCCCGGCGTCTCCCGCGGGCCTGTCCGCCTCAGCAGACGGGCGCCGGAGGCCTGGGGCTGGGGCGCCGCCGCCCCCGCCGAGGGACACGGGGCTCGCGCATCAGCACGTGCACGTTCAGGGCCCTGGATGCCCAAGATCCCTGTGTGGTGACTGAAACGGAAACCGCTCCTTCCGCTAAGACTTCAAGGACGCGTGAACGAGCTGTGCGGCACCCGACACGCCTGTCGCACCCGCAGGACGGCGACCGCCTTCCCACCGGGTGAGCGCTCTGCTGGAGCGAGCGGCCGGCCAGCCCCCCCGTGTCCACGGTCCCGGCCTGCGCTTGGCCGCCCAGAGCAGGGCCCCGCGTTCCACACCCTCTCCGTGCCTGGCAAGGACGCTCGTTGCGACAGAAGTGGCTCCGTCCTTGGGGCGCAACCCGGGGAGCACCTTGGGCAGCGCATCTTAGACACTGAACTTGAGGGGTGAGGAGAGCACATCAGAGCCCCCGGACCGAGCAGGCCACCTAGAAAAATGCATAAATGGGAATGATGGGGTTCTCGGCCACGCTGCCGGGCCGCTGGGTCCAGCCTCGCCAGGGCCAGGCTCCCGCAGCAGCGGCTTCTGCGACCCGGGGGGCGGGTGGTGGGGTCCGTCAGTCTGCCCTGGGGCCCCGGAATCTGAGTCCTAACAAAGGGGCCAAGGACAGGACTTGCCAGCAGAGGGGGCGCTGTGTGACAAAGCTGCTCTTAGTCAGAATGCACACGCAGACACTGGGCGGACCCGAGAAAGGACTGTAGGGGACAGTTCTGCAGGAAGGACAGCGCCAGCGGCACGGTCTCCCCTGAGGGGGGCCTGCCCTGGCCCCGATCACCTGGCCCTGAGGGGACAGTCACAGCCTCCCCTGACACTCTGACCCTCATCCCCCGTCTGCATAAGAAGCAGGGGCTTCCAACACGCAACAGACACCCCGGAAAAAGCACAACACAGAGGCTGACAGCCCCTCCCGCCCGAAGCCCAACTCTGTGCCGCCAGCTGCAGCCCAGCAGGGGCAGGCGGCCTGTGGCCTCCTGGGAGGGAGGGCCCGGCACGGCCTCCCGGACCCCGCCCCCGCCCCCTCCCCACGGCCCGGTGCAGGACGGAGGCCCAGAAAGCAACGTGCTCCACGGACAAAGGCAGGCCCGCAGCTGGAATGGCTCCTGGCCGCGTCAGAACAGCACAGCCGATTAAGCAGAAATGGGCCCACTTCCCAGGGAGCTGCCGGCTGCCGGGAGGAGCTGAGCGAGGGCCTGCGGCGGAGCTGGGCCTCGGGCGCCAGCCAGCAGCCCGTCCCGCCCACCCCCCGCCCGGAACAGCCTGGAGAGCTGCTTGCAGCGCAGGCAGGGGCAGGCGGGGCGCAGGGCCCCGGAGAAGAGCTCCTACTGTCGCAGCTCCTGCAGCTGCGGCTGCTGGGCAGGGGCCCGGCCCTGACCTTGGGATGCCCTCTGTCCGCAGGCGGGTCTGCACCGATGCGAACAGCAAGTGCTCCGGACACGCAATCACAGGGCACACGCCTTGGAGTGCAAACTGAAGCACAGCTGGGGAGGCAGGCGGAGCAGGGCTTCTTAGTCACAGTTCCAGCTGGGTCACCTGGGGCAAAGCATGTGACTGCTGAGGGCCAACTTCCTCACCTGCTTAGAAATGGGGTCAACGCCCCCGGCTCTGTCCACTGAGGTAGCAGGTGTGGGAGGGGCCCGGCGGCCCTTGACCCTGGGGCCCGAGGTCCCCGGCAGCTGCTCCCACCTCCGCCCTGAAAGCCTGTGTTGCCCTTCAGGCCCTCGGCCCCCAGCGCCCCGGGGGCCAGCTCTGCACCAGCACCGGGCTGGTGCCTGCGCCGAGGGCACCCCACGGCGGGTCCCAACACCCGCTGCCAGAGACCGGTGCAGACACACAGCTGCGACACACAACGGCGACCGCCGCAGGGCGGCCCGCGCCCCGGTCGCCGGCTGGACCGGGGCAGCTGGGGAGAGGCTGGACGAGCAGGAGGCTGAGGGGCGGCCCTCTCGTCACAATCGGGCACCTGACAGGTGCCCTGCGAAGACGCCGCCGGGAAGCCCAGCAACAGCTGTCCCCTCCGGCAGAGGTCAGTGTGGCTGGCGGGCGCCGCGCTCGCCCCTCTGAGCGCCTCCTCTCCACAGGAGGCGGCAACCCCCAGCGCAGGACGCAGGCCCGTGCCCAGGGCAGTCCCTGATGGGGGGCCTGCAAACACAAGCCACGTGTGGGCAGACACGTCACAGGCGAGAGAAAGAATGTGTTGCATGCGAGACACCGCGTGCATCACATGAGAATAACACAGGTCGTGTACACAAGGAACACACGTGTTGCATGCAGGAGAAAGCATGTGAGCCCCGTGTGGGAAGAAGCACGTGCTGTGCGGCACAGGGTGTCACGTGAGGAAATACACCCGTCTCTCTGGGAGGGAGGCCCCTGCTGTGGGAGAGGGACGTGCACGTGGGTGTGAGGGCTGCTGCATCTGCCCTCCCCGCCCCCCGCCGCCGCCGGAACGAGCCCCAGGGCCGACAGCCGGCCTGAGGACAGGTGACACGCACTGCATCGTGGCCTGGAGGCCTCGGCGAGAGAGGCCCCGTCCCAGCGGTGTTGGCTCCCGTGCCCAGGGTGGAAGGAGCGCCACATCTCCCGGCCACGGGCCACTCGGCGAGGGTCACAGCCCGCGCTGCGGCACCTGTGCGTCCGCTTCCCGGCTCCCTGGAAGCGCGGCCCGGCCGTGTGTGTGTGTGTGAGCGCCCCGCCCGGCGAGGGCTGCGGAGCCCTGCGGTGCGCCGGGGGGCGCTGCGGGCCGAGGAGCACGGGGCCGCGGGGATGGCGCCCACGCCCCGGGACACCCGCAGCACGCCTCCCGCGGCCGGTGGAAGGCGGCCAGGGAGTCACGAGGCCCGCCCTCTCATCCCACCCGGGCTGGACACGGACCTGGGGCCCGAGCGGCCGCCCGGTCGGGGGATCCCTGAGGAGGCCCGCGGGGAACAAGACCGCAGACGGGGGCTGTCGTCAGCAAAGCCCCCGGCAGCCGCCACATGCTGCGGGTCATGGGAGAGGCTTCCAGACAGTTCCGTGCTTCCCACACAAGTCTCCTGGCCGCACCACCGGAGAGCCACTCCCCCGCGCGACAGCGGCGACGAGGCCCAGCGCCATCTGGCGCGGCCCACGTGCGTCTCCCCCGTCGCGGACCGGGCTCACCCTCCCCCATCGCGCACAACCGTTTCAGGGAGGAAATGCCGTCCGGCAGGGTCTGTCCCTCTGCTCAAGGACGCAGGGTCAGGGTCAGGCCGTGGGCAGAACCCTGACCTCCCGAGTACCCAACATCCTTTCTTCTGAAGTGGCCAGAGCGGCAAAACGTCCACCAGGACCCGCTGGTGGCGACAGCCCGGAACGCGTGCTGGAGACGGGACCGGGCCTCGCCCGGGCGTGGGGGGAGGGCGCGGCGGGCAGCGAGCGGCCGTCCGGGCCTGGGGGCAGGGCCTGCACTGGCCACAGACCCCAGGCTGCCGCTCGGTCACTGACGCAGCACCTCCTCTGCAGCCACAGAAGTGCCGGCAGTGATGCTACACGTCCGGTCGCCTGAGCTCCACCAGTCCCTGCAGCCGGACAGCAAAGTCCCCGTGGGAGTTTCATTTCGTTCGTGTGGCACTAGTTGCCTCCAAGGTTGTTGAATATCAAGAGCAACACGGTCACAAAACCAAGAGCAGGTTTAGTCATGAACGCGCATGCATTTTCCAGAAATCGTTACCTGATTATCATATTTAAGAGACTGCGTCCCGACCAGGAACCGGATGGCGTCCGTCTCTGCCGTCTGCGGGCTGAGGGCACGAGCCTGCGGAGCAAGGAGAGCACATGTGTTAGCGACACTGCATGTCACAGACCCCACGGGCACGGCGGCCACCGCCCCCCACTTCCCGTGTGCGTAGGGGACCACCTCTAAGCGGGCACAAAAATCCAGCAACAAAGATGTAGACCGTGTTGTTAATGAAACCACCCTTTTGGCAGGAGCAGCCGGTGGAGCACAGCGCCCTCCAGGAATCAGCAGACAGCAGCTCCCAGCAAGGACAGAGCAGGGGCACGGGGTTTTCTGAGATGTTACTCATTTGTCTTTAAGGAAAGGGGAAGAGAGAGAGAGACACACACACACTGATGTGTAACAGAATCACTGACTGAGAGCAACCAGGGACCTGGCCCACGCCCCAGGCACGTGCCCTGACCAGGAACCCAACTGGCGACCTTCGGTTTGCAGGGCGCTGCGCAGCCCACCGCGCCGCGCCGGCCAGGGCAGAGCAGGGGTTTTGAGCCGAGCCCCCGGCAGAGGACGGCGGGACGATCGCCGGCCGAGCCGGAGGGCCGTCCTCCAGAAGCAGCGCCGTGGACCGACGCCGCTGCTGCCCGGCCCTGTCCCCTCCTCACTCCCCGCCGCAGCCAGGAACAGGCCTGACTCCCACTCCCGCACGGCGACTCCGCGCGTGCCCTCAATGCTGACCCGTTCTTTCCCGAACAGGGAGGCGAACGCCGCTCCGGGTGCCCGCTGTGGAACGCGCCCCTCTCGTGCAGGCTCCCGCCCTTCCTCGAGAGGCAGTGGCACAGAGACGTCGACTGCTGGGACACATTTCAGTGAAACCAAGAGATACACGTCTAGAGCGCTACGCGGTCGCGAGACATCCGGCGAGAAACCCCGTTTCGCCACGCCCCACGGCCCCAAGGGCCTCCAGGCCCCGCCCTCCGGCGGCGGCCCTCCTCGGCAAAACCAGGCCGGGCGACTTTCGGAGTCTCAGGCCTCTTTGCCAGGCTGATAAATTCTTTATGAATCTATAGATTTTCTGCCAAAAATGTGCATGCATATACACAGACTTCTGTGTGTATCAGCAAATTCAGAGACCCTCTGAACCCTATCCAACTTAAACATCCCAGCTCAGAGAAAAACAACCCACAAGGAAGGACGGCCGTCCCTGAAAGACAAAACCCCGACCGCCGAGCCTTGGGTGGGAGGCAGGATTCAACGCCAGCACTGCCAGGCCGAAGGCACGCGAAGGGGGTCACCTGCACGTGTGGCTGTCGGGCTGACAGCAAAGGGCGGTTCGCGGGGACAGGAGCTGCCTGAGTGGCGATGCTGAGCCAGCACTCGGTTTGCTTCACTCTAAAGCAATCCAGGGAGCCCAGAACCACACAGCTGGAGAGGGACGTCAGTCACCGTGCAACACGAAGGTCTAAGGGGACCGCGGGCCTCAGAGCCGAGGGGCGACCGCTTGCGGGGGGCACGGCCAGTCTGCAGCCGCCTCGCTCCTCCTCACCCAGACGGCCCTTTTTTAATTGAAGAAGGAAACCACTCTTGTTTTTTAAAAAAATCTAAACTGCATCTTTAAAAATTACAGTTAAATCTCATAAAAGTTTAAGGTCTTTCTAGTACCTCACTGGGCAAAGTTACATAAACACTGTCACTCTGGCATTTTGGCCACAAAGCTCTAGCCGTGTCTGCGACTCTGCTTCCCTGACTGAGTGAACGAACGATACCCGACCTTTCTCAGTCTAGTCACGATGATGGTTTTGAGGGGCTGAAACGATGCTAATACAGTAAGACTGAAACTTTCGCGAGCAACAGGTCACCAGAAAGCGTCCGCGTCTTCTGCCTCGGCTCATCCTCACAACTCGAGGAGGCAGACGGAAGCCAGGCTGGACGCTGCTGCCCGCCCCCCCGCCCCGGAGATGGAGACACTGAGGCCAGGGCGGCGGCTGGCGAAGGCCCAGCGGCACAGCTCCTGCAGCGGGCGGGCGGCCCGGGCGCCCGGCGGGGCTCGGTTCTCTCCCTGCTACGGGGACGCGGGCAGCTGGTCACGCAGGAGGACACTGACATACCTGGTTGGCAGGAGATCACGGGTCGGTTCGTTCTAATCCCACGCGTCCCGCCCAGTGTTCCGGGGGGAAGGCCGCGGCCCCCTCCTCACAGGGCGGTCTTCCAGCCCGCCACCGCCACCTAGCGAGCCAGGCCAGGAGGAGGCGGCTGGACATGCTGAGGCCCCGACAACGGCAGGGAAGCACCGCCGAATGCACCGACCGGGCCCGCTCGGGCGCAGCAGGCAGACACCAGCCCCTCGGAGCACGGACTCAGCATGCAGAACCCCCGGGGGAATCAAAGCCCCACCCATGGGCTTGCCGGGCTGAGCAAGCAGACGACTGCCCCCAAGACAGGAAGGGGCTGACCCTCGGTCCTCGTTCTTTCAGGGGCCACACGCCGGGTCCGCTGGAGGCCCGGGGGTCCCGCGAGAGCAGTGCACAGAGAAGGACCTCTGCTCTGCGCCATCGAGACACAGGGCGGGGTAGGTCCACCCCCACAGCGAGCGACTTCCTTCCAGAAAGGACTCTCCTCCCAGAGCCGCCCCCAGTCCAGAGCCAGGCCTGCCGGGGCACGAGGATCACCCGGCCTCCACAGGGCAGCGCAGGCTAGCTCCTCAGGGTTCTACCCGGTTCCCTAAAAATGAGAAAGAGCAGGAGGAAAGTCTCCCTTTCTTCATCCTGTGCTAGCTGAATGCCTATTTCTCATCCCCCACACCGGGAAAACACAGGCTGCCTGAGATATGGAAGGTTTTTAAAGTGACGTGCACTTAAGTACTGAAAACACAACAGAGACTTCCAGTCAAGATGGCGGCCCGGGCAGACATGACTCGCCTCCTTGCACAACCACGTCAAAATTATAAATAACACATAGAACAACCATCACTCACAACCATCAGAAATCAAGCTGATCGGAAGCCTGACAACTATGGAATTGAAGAAACCACATCCATCCAGACTGGTAGGAGGGGCACAGATGCAAACAGGCTGGTCCCACACCCATGTGTAGTGGATAAAAATTCGGGACGGGTATCTTGGAAGAGAAGAACCCCAGCCCCACACCGGGCCCCCAGCCCAGGGTTCCAGGGCCAGGAAGACAAGTCCCCACAGCTTCTGGCTGCAAAGACCAGCGGGGATCCAGTCGGTGAATGAAACTCCTGGAGCCCCAAGCAGTTCCTCTTGAAGAACCATACTCACCTGCTCAGACTCACGCCCGCTGAGCTCCAGCGCCCAGCACCAGGGTAGCAGCGTGAAAGGCACCGGTGGCGTATGGGGAGGAACTGAAGTGTCTGGCATCAAGGCGAGCAGAGGCCGCTGTCCCTTTTCTGAACACCCCCCAGCCCCACCAACAGAGGCACAGAGCCAGCAGACCGGTGCCATACCTGAGACTCCATCAGCCGGGCTCACACTGTGTGACCCGCCTTGGGGATCGCCAGGGACTCCGCCCCACCCAACCTATGGGCCACCCAAGCTGCCTTCCCATATGAATGGCCGGTCTTAGCTCCTGCTTCCCAACTTCCTAAATCCTCTCCAACAAGCAGCAGCTGGACTCAGTGAGCCCCCAGGCCCAGCACTAGGAGCCTAGATTCACAGTTTGGCTTCACCTGGGAACCTCCAAATCCAGCACAAGCAGCAGCCATCTCAGTGGCTTTATAGCCCACACAGGGTGGCCCTGGGCAGAACACAGGTGGGGCTGACCCTGGCCTGCACCACCCGGGAAACCCCAGGGCCAGTGCACCCAGGGGACAGCTACAGACCACGCAGGAGCACCCCCACCCTGCCCCTGCCCAGCGGGTCCTCCATGGAGGGCGGAGGCTGGTGGTCAGTGGTCACAACCAGTCCTTGCAGCTGACTGGCCTGGGTAAATCCCTCCCATCCTCCTGCCAATAACAACCAAGACTCACATACAAGAGGGGTGTACTCAGCCCACACGAAGGGTACACCTCGAGTACCCAGCTTGGGTGTTAGGGGAGGCTGTGCCACTGGACCCTACAGGACACCTACTACATTAGGCCACACTAACAGGACACAGAGTCAAAGCAGCTCCGCCTAACACATGGAAACAAACACAGGGAGGCTGCCAAAACGAGGAGACAAAGAAACATGGCCCAATTGAGAGAACAGATCAAAACCCCAGAAAAAAGGAGCTAAACAAAATGGAGATAAGCAATCCATCAGATGCAGAGTTCAAAACACCGGTTATAAGGATGCTCAAGGGACTGAGTGAGGACCTCAGCAGCATAAAAAAGACCCAGTCAGAAAACGAAGGATACACTAATTGAAATAGAGAACAATTTACAGAGAAAAAACAGGAGAGTGGATGAAGCTGAGAATTAAATCAATGATTTGGAACATAAGGAAGCAGAAAACAAGCTATCAGAACAACAAGAAAAAAGAACCCAAAACAATGAGGACAGTATAAGCAGCCTCTCAGACAATGTCAAGAGGCCCAACATTCGCATCGCAGGGGGGCCAGGAGGAGAAGAGAAAGAGCAAGAAATTGGGAATCTATCTGAAATAATTGTGAAAGAAAACTTCCCTAATTTGGTGAAGGAAATAGAATTGCAAGCCCAGGAAGCACAGAGTCCCAAACAGGACGGATGCAAACAGGCCCAGTCCATGATACAGCATGATTAAAATGCCAAAGGTCAAAGATAAAGAGAGAAACATGAATGTGCTCAGCATCTTGATTTCAATGGCCTCTCCACGTCCCTGGTCTACCTTTTATTTGCAGTAGAATTGCCTCACTTGACCCTCCAAGCCTCACCACCCTCAGTCAACGGTCAATAACCAGATCCCCGTCTTTTAACGTGAACTGTTCTCCACACGATTTGAACATCACTGACGGCCCAGCCTCCAAAGAAACTTTCCATTCTTTTTATGTTTCTGCAGTAATGGTCCTTCAAATTCAAGGAACTCACAGCCGTGGAGCTGTCTGAAGTAAGCAGTGCACAATCAGCTACTTCTTTTAAGATTAAAAAAAAAAAAGTCCGGATAAAATATTTAATGCTCAAAGCAAGAGCATTTTAGTGACCTCAAAGCCCCAACACTGAAGGTCAAAGCCTCTGGGTTATTGAGGGGGGCTCCTAAGACCAGGAAGGTATGAGCGGCTCCGGCGTAAGACGCCCGCTTTAGGCGGCACAGGCGGGGCGGCGCGTGCTCCCTGAGTGCCCGCCCGGGGTCCCCCGTGTGTGCCTTGCGCAGGGAAAGCAACACCACCTGGTGGTGTAGGCGCTGGGACGCTGGTTTGGGCTTAAAGCCTGCCCACGTCACAGTCCTAAACCTACGATTTCTTGTTAAGTGTCCCGGGACCCCAGCAACACGACACCTACCAGTGTGGCTGCTCAGAGAACTAAACGGCAGTGCCTACAGCGCAAGCAAGCAGAGGGCCCCTCACCCAGGTGCCAGGTCCCAAACACTTGGGGGACCGGCCAGCCGCCCAACCCAGCGACCCCGTCACTACTCATCGGACGCTTAACGCTGCCCTGCGAGGCATTTATCGAGGGAAATGTTGTCTCGTTGTGATAATTAACACCACATTTACCGAGTTCTTATTCTGGGCCGGGCACTGACTGGTCTAAGGGCCTGAATGAAATGTCTGACGCGTTTAATTTTCACAGCAGCCGTGGTGGGGAGCCGCTCCTCTCCCCGGGGTGGTGGCCAGGAAGCGAGGGCCCAGGGCCACACAGCTGGCCCGTGCTGGGCCCAGGAGGTGGCTCCTGGCTTTTCTTGGGGTGGCCAAGAGGTCCGTTGCGCTCTACCAGCCCTTCGTTGTCTTTAACTTCACTTGAAACAATTTTGTTAGGTTATATGGTAACAGCTGTCCTATCAGCAAGCATTCTTTAAAAACTATCAAAATTGGTGAATTTTGTGCAGCCCTTTTAATATTGAAGATGGAAGAAGATAACGCGACATTTTTGGGGTGTTATGCCGTTATTTCAAGAAAGTAAAAAAGGTAACTGAAATGCAAAAAAAAAATCGGTGCCATTTATGGAGAAGGCACTGTGACTGATCCAACGTGTCAAAAATGGTTAGCGAAGTGTCTTGGCATCGTTGACATTCTGGTCAAATGATCCTTCGCTGTGGGGCTGCCTTGTGCAGGGAAGATGTCTGGCAGCGCCGTGGCCGCTCCCCACGAGGAGCCAATAGCGGGAGAGCCAACAAACTCAAACGTCCAAATCAAGAAAGTTATTGCGAAAATGAAAACTGCGTCTTTTATCTTACGTTGAAAACCTACGGACTTCAGGGCCACCCAGGAGTCACCCATAGCCCGCCTCCCCCGCGGCAGGCCCCGCGGCAGCAGCGACCCGCGGTATTTAACGCGCACCAGCCGCGCTCAGCTCCGCGAGGGGCACCTCCGCTGCGCTGAGCCGTGTTTCCTTTCTCTGGGCCTGGTCCGCGCTCTCTGAAGCTGCTTCAATAGCGGGGGCCCGCACAGGGCTCCCACCGGCCGGCCGCCGCCCTCCCCCCGCGCCCCACGCCCTCTCGACCCGCAGGCTTTCCTGCGGGCGCCCCCACGTCGCCGTCCACACTAGGGGTCCCTCCGTTCGCCGTCGTCTGCTGAGCACCTCCCGTGCCGGTCCCGGGAACAGGTGCTGGGAAACGCGGGGTGAAAAAGAGACGGGGCGTCCGTGGGACAGCAGGCGACGCCCGGCGACAGGGCTGTCGCGGCGCGCGTCTCCGCTCTGCCCGTGCGCCCCGCGGTCGGGAAATTGTCAGCGGCAGGGAGCCGGGTGCGGGGTCCTCGAGGACTTCCCGTCGTCTGTCTGTGCAACTGTGTCAACACGAACTGGAAAACTCCGCGTTCCTGCCTCCCGGAGCGCCGGGACGGGAGGTGGGAGGACGAGCACGCGCGAGGGCACCAGGGACCGCGGGGAGAGTCAGGCCACGGCGAAGCCCGGCACGGCGGAGCGAGGCGGCGGAGCCGGCCACCGGGCTCCGGCCGCGCCCGGGGGACCGGGTCGTTCAGTCCCCGCCACCTCAGGGCCCTCGCTGCACGGGGGCACGGGGACCCACCTGGAACTCCAGCCCGTAGATCACGGGCGCGTCGTCCTCCATGCCGCGGCCGCCCCCCCGCCTCAGGCCGGTCCCGAGAGCCGGCGCGCCCCCAGCTCAGCGTCCATTCATTCCCCGCCGCCCCGCCAGCGCCGAAACGAGATTATTTCTGGCCCACCGAGGCTGCCGTAGGGCCCACTTCCTGTGTTTTCCTGACACGTCACCGAGACGTTCCTTGCCGGCGACCCGGAGGGCGGTGGCACCCGGATCGCGCGCATGCCCAGTGGTCTCCCATCCGGGCTCTGGGCTCTGCTGGCCCGGGGCCTGCGCGCTGTGGTTGCGACGTGGGAGGGGAGACGCCGCGCCGCCGGAGCGGGGGCGGGGGCGGGGCGAGGACGGAACTGGGCGGGGCTTCCTCTCGTTGCCGTCGGGGGCTGCCAGGAGTCTCCAGCTGGCAGCCTTGGGTGCTGCGCCGTCCCAGAATCGCTCACCTGAAGCGGTAACAACGTCTTCTGTTAAGCCGAGTACTTTCCCCAGCGCGAGGACAAACGCTTTCTATCCACTATCGTCAAGTTTGTGCCCCCCCAACCTTAGGGCTAAAGAACCAAGCTTCCATTGACAGCCGAGCCGCTGCGTGCGGGAGCTACGGCGCTGGCCGCTCAGTCCGATTCCAGGGGGACGGGCCCAGGATTAAACCAGGGGCCCGGCGCGGGGGTGGGGGGGTGGCCTGGGGAAAGGATCGCATTGCCAATGCCAGCTGGCAGTGACGCTGGCGTGGCAGTGCTGGCGGAGCCTGAGCAGCATTTGACAGTGAATGGGAATCAGCTGGGAAGACCGGGGATTCTCCCACACCCTCCCCCAACCCCCGATCTCCAAGGACCATCATGGTCCCCTTAGGCAGTAGTCCCGAAATGCTTGCCTTTACAGCAGACCATGCTCTTGTTACCCAACTCAAGGGGTTCGTAGCTTGAGGTGTCCTGTTCAAAACTGGGGTATGGTTGTCCTTAGGTGTTTTACCTACTTGCAGCAAGCCAAGGAGAAGGGATTCTCATCCAAAGCTTTGTCTCCCAGAAAGGAGGCTTAGCCATGGCTTCTATACACTTTTTGGTTAATTACATGTTGCTGTCTTCTTGGCAGTTGGCTAAACCTGTCCTGTTGGGTTCCTGTCAACCTCATCTGGTTACAGCTGTGTCTGCAAAAATACTGTTACACATTTTAACAGTTAGCAAGAATAGCATTTAGTAAGAGCTGGCCCAGACCTTGAGACCCTTGTCCTATCTAACACCCTTGGCAGACTAATTACATTGCATGTAATCCCAAAATGCCATAGCTGCATCCCATTCATTAACCTGGGTTCCAATATTTTCCAGAACTATCTGTCTCTTCTCCATTTGTGTGGTTAATTTTCCTCTCTACCTTTAATCTATTTTCATAACAAACGTATGAGTGTGAAACGGGTAAATGAAAGATGCTCAGCATTACTCATCAGCAGAGAAATGCGAATCAAAACCCCAATGAGGTATCACCTCACACCTGTTAGGATTGCTATTATCAAAAAGTCAAAAGGTAACAAGTGTGGGCAGGATTGGAGAAAAGTGAACCCTTGGGCATTGTTAATGGAAATGTAAGTTAGTACTGCCACTATGGAAAACAATATGGAGATTCCTCAAAAAATTATAAATAAAACTACCATATGATCCCATTTCTGTGATCCAAAGGGGAAAAAAATCCCTGTCTCAAGAGATATCTGCATCCTATGTCCATTGTAGTCTTATTCACAGGAGCCAAAGATGGAAACAACCTAAGTGTCTATTAACAGCTGAATAAAGAAGATGGGAGCTTATCTATTTCAGTTGATCCTTGAACAACGGGGGTAAAGGGCGAGGTTGGGGATGCTGACCTCCCCTTGTAGTCGAAAATCTACATATAATTTTTGACTACTCCAAAATGTAAGTTTTCCCTCTGTATCTGTGGTGTTGGTTCCAAGGGTCCCTGTAGATGCCAAAATCCACAGATGCTCAGGTCCCCTATATAGCATGGCATAAATCAGTACATGCAGTTGGCCTACCATCTCTGATGATTCCCAACCACAGATCAAAAATAATACAGATATTTGTTGAAAAAAAAATGCTCATTTAAGTGGGCCCATACAGTTCAGACTCATGTTGTTGAAGAGTCACCTGTGTATGTGTATGTATGTGTATGTGTATATAGTGGAATATTATTCAGCCCTAAAAAATTTTTTTTTAATTAATAAAAAAAGGAAATCCACCCTGGCAAGGTAGCTCTATTGGCTGGTCTGTTGGTTGGTTGGTTAGAGCAGCATCCCAGAAGCACCAGGTCGTGGCTCCTGTTGAGGTGCATGCAGGAGCCATTGGATGAGTGGAACAGCAAATCGATGCTTCCCTCTCTCTTAAAAAAATCAACATATACTTTAAAAAAAAAAAGGAAATCCTGTCATTTGCGACATGTATGAACCTGGAGGACATTGTGTTAAGTGAAATAAGAAAGACACAGAAAGGCAAATATTGCATGATTCCATTTACATACAGAATCTAAAAAAGAAAGTTGAAGTCACTGTAAGAGAGTAGATTGTCTCTGACCATAGGCTGAGGGGTGGGGACTGACCAAAGGGGACAAACTTTCAATTACAAGATAAATAATTGGAGACCTGAGTTCTGGAGACCTGAGGTGCAAAGTGGTAACCATGGGTGACAGTGATACATCGTATTTTCTAAATGTGCTGAGTAGATATCAAGTGTTGCCATCACACACACGCACACGGTGAGTGAGGTGAGGGGTGCGTTAATGGAATTGTGGTCATCATTTCAAAATGTATGCATTGTATGCCTTAAGTATACGCAATTTTTATTTGTAGAAAATAAATTGATTTTTAATCATTAAAAAGGAAGAAACAGAAGAAAGAAATGGCCGGGTCTGGTTCGGCTCAGGTGCATTCCGGCACCTAACGCCTTGTGCCTGGCAGAGCTAAGGATAGTATTTGCTGGATGAATGCGGGGGTCTGGGTGTTATTGGTGTTATTACTACCACCGTTTTTTTAACATTAATGTTATTACTCAAATAGTACAAATGCACGGCAGGGAAAGTTGAAAATACAGATAGGCACAAAGACAAATCCCTGAAAATACTCTTTCTAGGGTGCTTTGGTCTGGAATGAAAAGAACCGAAGCAGCTCCCCTCCAGTTGCCCTTCGGCCACAGGTTCCCTGTAGCCTGCGACGCCAGAATTACTTCCTGCTTCGTTCCCAGGTGCGGGGTCAGCTCGCCCCGCCTATTCCCCCGCCCACGTTCACACCTTGAAGCTCAGGCCCCGCCCTCCGCGAAGGCGAGGGGCCCACGCTGCACTTCCGGCCGCACCGGAAAGCAGAGGAGTGCCGGCCCCTGCACTGGGCATGCGCGAGCGCCGGCGCGCTGAGGGACGGCGCGCGCAGGCGCCGCAGAAGGTGCTGTGCTCACTCGCCCTTCCCGGCTTCCTCCGCCTTCTCCGGGACCCTGGTCACTGCCGCAGGTGACCCCTTCCCCTAGCCCGTGGGAGGGCGGCAGGTGAGGACCGGGCTGCAGGGCGGGGATCGGGCCGTCCGTCACCGCCGCTACACCGGCCCAGGTCCGCGGCGGGGTCTGGGGCGCGTCTCTCGCGGGGCGGCCGTCGGAGGCGGACGCAGAGGACGGGTCCCGGGCCCCGGCCCGGGTCGGCACCCGATGGTCCGTGGGGACCTGCCCGCCACGCTCTCGGCGTACGGAGGGCAGAGGCCGTGGTGTGTGACAGGACCTAAGCCCCCGGGCAGCGTTGGCTGCCACTGCCCGTCGTGCCCCTTCCCAGAGCCGCGTCGGGACTGGAGGCATCCGCAGCGCCCGACGCTCTCGGCACCGAGAACGCACCTGTTGAAAAGGAACGACCCGCCCAGAGGCGGCTCTAACGGGTCTTTTTCTCCCACTGTCCACCATAGGACTCGCACCCCAAAGATCCATGTCCTTGGACGCAGTTCCTGCCTTTTTATGGCTACTAGAGGGCACCGTCTCTTTGGGGTTCAAATAATTTACTCCTAGTTTGGGTTTTTTTTTCCCATGCGTTCGAGGACAGTGTCGACTGCGGACACGGAGTCAGGCCCGGTGATGGGTGGAAGCGGAGAGGGCCTGCAAACAGCAGGCGGCTGTGTCCTCGCGTCCGAGCCCCGACTCTGCAGGGCCCTCTCCCTCCAACGCTGTGACAGCCCCCTGCTCGCCGCCGCCGTTGCAGCCACGGTGCCTGTGTACCTGCAGCTCAGAGTTGTGGGTTGTTATCTTGAGAGAGGACCCAGGGAGAAGCCTTCCTGTCGGGGGTGCATCCAGCCTTTGATGACCCCAAGGTCGCCTGTCGTCCAGACTCGCTGTCAAATCTGACAAGAAAAAAGGCTTTCGTTCCTTTTCTTTCTTTTTAGTCATTTATAGCTAATAACTGTTAGATGGATATATAATAAGTGGGGAATTAGTAAGTGACTTCGCTGGACAAGGAACTTCCCCACGATGTTGAACTTAGGTTTTCTACTTTACAGTCACCCTGTTCCTGGGTCTCGGGGTGATCGGGCTATAAAAGGAAGGGCCGCGAACGTGGACGGCCGCGATGAAAGTGCCGGTGGCGGGAAGGAGGAGTCTTTGGTCAGCTAAGTAGTTTTTATAGGTCAAAAGCTGTTTTTTTCTGGGAAAGCTGTCATCTTTTATGATGGTCTTGGTTTTCTAAACTTGAATTTGTTCACTGTGAGAGTAGAACAGTACCTTTTGCTCAAAAATAGTTCCTTAGGAAGAGGAGCCCCACTGTGTTTAGACTACAAACTCTTCCTTGCATTCTGTGGCCCCCACCAGCCAGCGTCACCCCGACGTCACACTTGGGCGGGGCTCGGCTTCTCTCACACCAGCCGTGCGCTTTGGGGCAGCCCCACAACCTCGCTGAGCCTCTGTGTCCTCGTCTCCAAAATGGGGAGAGCGATTGCCGCCATTTCAGGGGGCTGTTCTGAGGACCAGGGAAGAAATTCTGTGCAGCGCAGTCAGAACAGTGCCGGGCACGCATAAGCGCCAGACCTTGTCATCTCATTTGGTTGTCAGCGGTGACAGCCACCCGCAGGCCCCAGCGAGCAGGCCTTTGTCTCCTGCCGTCTCTAACACTCCTGCCCTCCGGCATCTCACGTTCCCAGGATTCAGCACACAGCGGGTTGAGCTCAGAGGAGGATGGGAGATCGGTCCAGGTTGGAGGGTCTTGGAAGGCTTCCTGGAGGAGGGGCCGCACCCTCACTGGGATGGCTGCATGCGAGAAGACAAAATCAATGTGGGTGACGATCGGGAGGAATGGAAGCCCTGTGCGTGGTTGGTGAGGGTGTAAAATGGTGGAACCACTATGGAAAATAGCTCGGTGGTTCCTCAGAAAAACTAAAAGTGGAATTGCCACGTGACCTGGCGATTGCACTTCTAGGTAGCAAGGGCTGGAAGGGACAGTTGTACAGCCCCGTTGGTAGCAGCCGTGCTCACAGTGCCCGAGGCGGAAGTGATCTCAGCGTCTGTCAGCAGCAAAGCCGGCAAACAGGTGTGGCCGTCCGCACAGCGGGCTGCTCCTCAGCCGTAACAGTTGAGGGATTCGACGCGTCCTGCCAGCGGGCGCACCGTGAGGACAGGCCAAGCCAATCAGCCAGTCACTGCAGGACACATGCCACGCGATTCCACATACGTGAGGTCCCTGGAGTCCCCAGATTCACAGGCAGAAAGAAGGATGATGGTCGCCAGGGGCCGGGGAGGGGGAGTGGGGAGTTGTTGAATGAGCACAGAGTTTGTTTTACGAGATGGGAGAGCTCTGGAGGGGGGAGCAGAGGCGGTCGTGCCACGCGAATGTACTTAGCACCACTGAACTGCATGCTTGGCAGCGATTAGGGCCCCGGCCGCTGCAGCTCAGTTGGGCGTCACCCTGCAAACTGAAAGGCCACAGGCGCGGTTCCCTGTCCGGGCACAGGCCTGGGTCTCGGCTTTGCTCCCAGGTTGGGGTGCACACCAGAGGCAGCTCAGCGATGTTTTTCTCCCTCTCTTTCTCCTTCCCGTCCCGTGTCTCTAAAAATCAGTACATAACATCTTTTTAAATAAAAAGAAATGGTTAAGATGATAAATTGTAAGTAATGGTCTTTTACCACAATATGTGGCTGGAGAAATGGAGTCTCTTGAATTTCGATGTGAATATATAACTGATGAACATTTGTTAAATGGACTGTCTTTTTAGAGCAGTTTTAGGCTTCCTGCGAAATCAAGCAGCAGGCGCAGAGATGCCCATACACCTCAGCCCCCCCCCATCAGCAGCCCCACCAGAGCAGACACGTGTCAGCAGCTGCGTTGGCACGTCATTGTCACCCAAAGTCTGTAGTTGACATCAGGGGTCACTCTTGCTGTTGTACTTTCTACAGGTTTAGACAAATGTATGTGACGTGTTTACCGTTATAATGACATTTGCCATTTTCATAAATTTAAAACAATTTCAATAAGAGAAAAGTTCAGTAGCCGCCGAGATGGAAAGCTGCTGAGCTTGTTTCGTCTTGTTTCAGGGACCATGGAGACGGCACTGGGCGCCGGCTGCAGCCCGCCTGCGGAGCCTGGACCGGCGGAGGGGCTCGCCCAAAGCCCCGCCCCGCAGGCGCCTCCCCCAGACCCAGACCCGGGGCTGCTGTACCAGGAGGAAACCATCGACCTGGGGGGAGACGAGTTTGGGTCAGAGGAGAATGAGACCGTGTCAGAGGATTCTAACAATCTCGTGGATAAGCTGAGCGAGCACATGATGGAGAGTGTGCTCATTTCTGACTCTCCGAACAACAGCGAGGACGACACGGGTGACCTTGGGGGCGTGCAGGATGTCGCCGAAGGCAGCGCCGATCACAGACTGGACAGTGTCATGGATGAAGGCGCGCCCGGCTCTCCGACGCGGGACAGTGAAAGTGAGGGAGACGAAGCGCCTAAGGGCGTCTCCGATGCGACCCCTGAGGGCCGGGCATCCTTGGGGGAGGACCCGGAGCCAGAGGGGAAAGGCCTGCCCACCTGTGCGAGCGACGGCGCTGGGGATCCGGGCCCCGCGAGCCAGGGCCCTCTGCCCGGCGCGCCCCCGAGGCAGCCCCCTCCCAAGGACGAGCCGGTGCCCGTGTGCACCATCTTCAGCCGCTCCCAGCCGGCGGCCGCCCAGCCGCCCCCCTTCCTGCAGGACGGCTTCCAGTCGCAGGTGGTGAAGTCGCCCAGCTTCAGCGGGGCCGGCCAGCCGGCGCCCAAGACCCCTCCGCCGGCAGTGCAGCCAAGCCCCAGCCTAAGCACGTTTTTTGGAGAGACGACCAGCACCAACTCCCTGGCCTCCGAGTTCTTCGACTCGTTCACAACGTCCACATTCATCTCCGTCAGTAACCCCAACGCAGGCGCTGCTGCCGCTCCACAGCAGCTGTCGCCAGGCGGCTCCCCGGTGGGCGGGGACTCCCGGGGTCCCGCGGAGCCCCGCCCCCGCGGGAGGGAGCGCGCGGAGCCGGCCTTTGCGGTGGCTCCCGCGGAAGCGCCGCAGTCTCCGAAGCCGTTTTCGCAGATCCAGGCTGTGTTCGCGGGGAGCGAGGACCCCTTCGCCACCGCCCTGAGCGTGAGCGAGAGGGACCGCAGGAGTGACGCCTGGCTGCCTGGGGAGGGGACCCGGGACATCCTGATTTCCGTGGCGACCCAGCAGTGCGGCGCCGTGTTCATAGACAAGGAGAACCTCGCCATGCCCGGCCTCAAGTTCGACAACATCCAGGTGAGACGCGGCTCTGCCACAGGTGGCGCCTGCTGCCTGTTCTCCCCTCGGGGACACTTCTGTGGCCACATCTCGTTCCTCTCATCTATTCTGTTATTTCTGTGTGCGTGTGATGTGTGTACTGTAAGTAAAAGACCTCTTAGGCATTAGAAAATCCTATTTCTAAGGAGCAAGTAAAGTTCCGATTGTGCAAGGCTGAGTTAGCTGCTGGGCCATTCCTAGCCCTGGGGATTCGCGGGCCTGCTGTGGTTGATTAAGGCCCCAGGCCGTCTTAGAGGTGGATCCCGCCGGGCAGGCGTCACCCCGCCGTCTCGGAAGTAGCCCTGGCTGTGTGGTTGGTTGGTTTGTGACATGTGGCCTCCCGGAGGATAGATCTGCCATTCCCCGTTTAAATCTGCAGAAAAATACTTGTATTGGATGCTACATGTTCGACGTACACAAAGTTTACAGGTTCCGTAAGAAAAATAAGACTGCCCCCCATTAAGAAATCACAAAAATATATAAATATGTTATGTAGTAAGTAGTAACGTAACGTAAATTCAGTCTCACTAGCATTGTGGAATTATTTCCAGTTTTCAACATCTACTTACAACCCTTCCGTGCTGTTAGGCTGTGCGAAAACAGCCTGTCTCAGGCAGCCCTGATGGGGCCGTAATTCGGTACAACCTTTTTAAAGTAAAGATTTAACATCTACACCCAGACCCTGATCTTGGGCTTTTTGCAATGGAGTCGCCGTGCCGGCAGGCACCGCCCAGCCTTGGGGTGTCCACCAGGGCGGTTTCTGACTGCAAAGCAGGGGACCAATCTAAAGGCCTCCGGGGCTGGTCGCAGACCTTGGACTTGTCTCGGCACTGGAATATTTAGGGAGGTGTTAAAAACAGCGTTACACTAGAGTGTTCACTGAGGTTCGTATTTTATTGGTAAAGTGGAAAAACGACGTAAGATGGCAGGAGCGAGCCTGTTACTGGACAGCAGGTGGGGTCCCACCCCGCGGCTGCCCCAGGAAAATGCCAGAGGCCAAGGCTCGGTGAAGAAGGAAAGGAGTCCTCATTCGGAAGCTTCCCGGTTTTGGCCCCTCGGTCACTTAGGCCTGCCAGTGAAGGCCGAGCGCTTTACCTCCTCAGTCTCAGCTTCGGCCGCTCACGCCTGCTCATGAAGGCAAAACTCTAACACCTGCGTTCTCCTGGCCTTTCCCCCGTTAGTGTTTCGTTACCTGGTTTCTATAGGGTTAGTTTACAAACCCAAACATCATGAGATCCCAAAGCCACAAGATCCTGGAAGAAGGGCAGGCTTCTGCCGTAGCGTCCGCCTTCCTGGAGGCCCCGGCCAGGCTGACGGCTGATGGGACGTGAGGCAAGCGCTGCTCAGGCCTGCTGCCCGGCCGGCCACTCCCAGAGACACCTGCTCCTCGTCCCCGGCGGTGTCGCCTCCCGCTCTGGGGCCGGCCGTGCTGCGGGCCACGCCCCCCGGGAGAAGCAGCAGTGAGTTCGCAAGTGCACATCCGCTGGGGCTGGCGCTGCTCGAGCGCCTGGGCAGTGCCGCCTCGGGCGCTCTGACCACGCTGTGACCTCCACACGCCAAGGGGGATGGGGGACTTTTGGTTGGCGATGGGTTCTCGTTAGCTGAGTCTAGTTAACATTTTATTGTCTTGACGTATTTTTCATATATTTTTTCCAGGGAGATGCAGTTAAAGACTTGATGCTTCGCTTCCTGGGTGAAAAAGCTGCCGCGAAGAGACAGGTCTTAACTGCCGACTCGGTGGAGCAGTCTTTTGTTGGCTTGAAACAGCTAATTGTAAGTAACGGTGTGTTTGATTTTCCTTTTTCTTTTTTTTTTTGGTAAGTCCTGCCTTCCTTCATAATATTTTCCCTAGTTAATTACTTTGAATATCTTACCCAAAGCCCTTGCACATAAACAGAATGTTGTTAGATACCAGTCCTGTGTGGCAAAAAGCATCATAATAACATACTTCTAATTTTAAGTCCAATTAGTTCAAAAACCACTACGTTAAGTGATTGGAGTACTTGAAGTAGCATATGCTTTGATTAAACATGCCTCATCAATCACAATAACTAGAGGTAAATAACTTTACATTGGTTTTTTGAAAACACTGTTTTCTCCCCTTGGCGTAGGAAGCTTGTCACTGCACGTGGGCGGGGCGGCCGGCGCGCACAGGGACGTCCGTGCGCGGGGCAGCGGTCAGTGCCGACTCGCCCTTGAGCGGGGCCTCGCGCCAGGTGCCCCTCCTGCCTGGTCGCGCGCGGCGTTGACCGCAGGCCTCTGCTCCGTGGCCTCCGCCGGGGGCGGGCTCTCTGGCGGGCGTTGCCGCGCCCCGTCAGCAGCCCCGCGTGTGTGCGTGTCCTGCCGCGCTCATGGGTGCCCTGTGCCTTACAGAGCTGCAAAAACTGGAGGGCGGCAGTGGACCTGTGCGGGCGCCTCCTCACTGCCCACGGCCAGGGCTACGGCAAGAGCGGGCTGCCCACCAGCCACACGGCGGACTCGTTGCAGGTACGGCCCCTTCGGATGCCGAACTGTGCTCTGCTTTATCGTGACTAGGGGGCAGGGAAGGGACCGTGAACCTTTCTAGCCGGTCATGACACCTGGAAAACAAGAAGTCTTCAAGTGCGGATTCAGCCTCAATGCGAGGTGCCTCTAGTCCTGCCCTTGGCCTCCCCGCCGGTGGGGGCGGGGCTTGCTGCCCTGGGACGGGGCCCAGAGGCTCAGCTCCCAGGCCTGCGGTGCAGGGCCAGCGCTGCTGGGTGATCGGGGTGCCCCTGGGCTGGGAGGGCTGGCAGGGCTGGCGCGGGGCTGGGGAGAAAACGGGGACTCGCGGGGGGCGGTGCTTCCTCAGGGGTCAGCGCTCCCCAGGGGTAGCGGCGGTCGCTCCCACAGGAGAAGAAGGCAGAGACTAGGGCTGCGAACAAGGAAGCGGTCTGATAGGAGCAGCGCAGCTGCTTCCCCCCGCCTCTGGGGAGCGTCCTGTGGGGGGCCCCCAGGGCGGGCGGGCGGCCCTGGCCGGCCCGTGCCTGCTGGCTGCTGCTGGGAGTCCGCAGCCTCCTGCCCCTGCAGCCCCCGCCTGCCCGCCCGCACCGGGGCGGCTTTCTCCTGCGCCTCTGAGCTGGTCACCGCCCCAGCCCCCGTCCTCACTGCAGTGCCGCCCCAGCCTCCCCCGCGACCCGACCTCGAGGCTCCCTATTCCCGTTCCTTGAGTAAACTGCCACCCAGTCACCTTCCCAAGCAGTTTCGATCCCCTTGCCTTCCTGCTCAAAACACGGGCGGCCCCCGCAGCCCGCCCGGCAAGCCGCCGTGCTGGCCCTGGGCCCCGGGGGGCCGCAGCCTTCGCGCCCCCCGCCGTCGGCGACCCTCCTGTGACGCCCGTCACTTTCCTGCAGGCCGGCTCACACCTGGCACTCTGCCCGCCGGCCCGGCGGCGACGGGCCTCCTCCAGGCCGACCCCGGTATCCGCGCCCCCTCGGGCGTCCCTCCCACGCACGTCGCCTCCCTCCAGCCTGTGGCCTCCTTGGGGAGGGCCGTCGCTGTTTCTGCCTCCCGACTGCCCAGCACAGCTCTTCCACACCCGCTGTGCCCCAGTGGTCCGACTGAGTCGAGTCCAGTAAAGTCACCCATGTTGCTGTAAACACGTAGTTACGCAAACGTGCAGAGAGGTAGGTCAGCCTTCGTTCTACCGGGTTTGAAATCGAGCTCTGACGGCCTTGTTTCCCTCGTGTCCCCAGCTTTGGTTTGTGAGGCTGGCCCTGCTGGTCAAGCTCGGCCTCTTCCAGAGCGCCGAGATGGAGTTCGAGCCCTTTGGGAACCTGGACCAGCCGGACCTCTATTACGAGTACTACCCGCACGTGTACCCTGGGCGCAGGGGTAAGGCAGCGCTGCGCCTTGGTGTGCGTTTTGTTTCGCTTCGCTTTGCTTCGCGCACAGCCAGCCGCCCTGTTTTCCTTATTTGCCCCGTCCTGACTAATCAAACATGGAGCCTGGCGTGACCGTGAGAGACAGAGCACTCAGTCGCCGCGTTTTCTCCAGGCGCCCGTCCAGGCGTGCGGCAGTGCCTCCGCGCGTTCACGTCGCAGCCGCTTCCCCAGCGCCTGTCGGAATCGGCGGGCGGGCGGGTCTGGCGCGGGGGCCGGCCGGGTGACGCTCAGACTCCCTGCCTGTGCTCCAGAGCAAGGAGGAGTCTTAAACGCGTAACCTCGTACAGGCGTGCGCATGGAAACCACACACATATGCTCGTGCACTGGCGCTTATTGTGCGTCGTTTCTGCGAGCCTCTGTTCTGATTTGATTGGTTTAAAAATTTGGGTTCAGCCCTCGAATGGGCCTGGGCGGGAGCGCGGGGTCCTTGTCGGGAGCTGCAGAGGGGAGCATGGGGGTGGGGGTTCCAAAGAGGCCTATGGGCAGCAGCCGCCGTGAGGTGCCGCGGAGGCCCTGGCGGAGAGCCGTCGGGGGGCAGGGGGGTCCGCTGGCAGGACCTGGGGCGAGGGCTGGGCCATCCCCCACGGCTCCCGGCTCCTCCGCTTGCTTGGGCAGCGCGCCGGTCAGGGCCGCTGGGGCACCCCGCCTACATCAGTGGGCTCACGGAGGATGGCGCGGCCTGTCACGTCCCCCCGGCCCGCCAGGTCGCTCGCGTCTGCTGTGGGGCCCCTGGGCAGCCTCGGGCGCCGCTGCGAAGCCAGGCAGCACGGGCCCGACCGTGGGGACTAAGGCTGGGCCGGTGCCAAGGCCCGGGCAGCGACGCAGGTGACGCTGCCACAGGCGGTTCCCACAGGTCAGTCGGCGTCTGGCCTGGCTTGGGGGACCGTCGCAGGAAGACCAGCAAACTGAGGAGACGCCGCGTCAAAGCGCATTGCCCGCTGCCTGTTGAGTCTTTTTTCCTCACCACTCAGACCGGGTCGTTGGGCGGGGCCCCGGGAAGGCGTGCACCCCCTTGGCCCCCAGTGCGTCTGCCTGCGCCCTCCCAGCCGGGGGAGGGCTTGCTGCGCGGGCACGCTCAGGCCCAGCCGCCTCGCTGGTGGTGAAGTCCTGCTCCGTTGGGGGCAGAGGTGCCCAGGAATGTTCCTTAAATAACGTTTTCTTCTTGCCTTTGCTGTTGGGTCAGATCAGCTGACTCCCTGCAGAGTCTTTCTCGACTGAGTTCTGTCCGCCGGTGTTTTCTGAGCTTTTGCCGACAGCGCCCGCACTGCCAGTCGCTTTGCGGGGCCCCTTCAGGCCGGGCCGCGCTGGCACTTGGCTGCCGCGCTCCCGTGTCTGCCGCCGGCCTGCTGGCTCCTCCCCGTGCAGAGCAGGGGCGCGGCCCCTACGCCCGCTCACGGCTCTGGCCTTGGTTGCAGGCTCCATGGTCCCCTTCTCCATGCGGATCTTGCACGCGGAGCTGCCCCAGTACCTGGGCAACCCCCAGGAGTCGCTGGACCGGCTGCACCGAGTGAAGGCCGTCTGCAGCAAGGTGAGGTGCGCGCCGTGGCGGCTGCACCGCCCTCCCCTCCGGTCCCGGCCTCACAGGGGCGCGCCACGCGGCCTCCCCCGCTGCCACTGCCTTGGAGAGGCGGGCCCCGCTGCTGTGACCCTGTTGTGACCGCGGCACTGCCCCTGCTGGCGGACATCAGGCCGGGGCAGTGGACGGGGTTGGGGTCCCGAAGCCCCTCCCTTGCCCTCGCTGTGACGGCGGGCGGAGCAGAGCAGCAGCCTCGCGGGCCCAGGCGTCAGTGGGCCCGGGGCCGGCCCTCACGCGTCCTGCGAGCGCTGTGGGCGCCCGCTGCTGCCAGACAGAGGCGCTGGGGCAGTGCCTGCAGACGGGACGTGTGCGCCCTGGGGGGGGGGGGTCCTCGCCGGTGGTTGTCCCCCAGGCGGCGGCCGGGCTCTGTTTCTGGAAGGGTCCCTTCCAAGGGGCTAGGGTGACGCCTCCTGGCGGAGGGGCTGGCCCACGCGGGCCTCGAGCCCCCCGCCCCCCACCGCTGAGGAGCGCAGCTCGCTGCCTCCGGACCGCCTGTGTCGGCCGGGGCTTTGGACCAGCGGCTGGCCTGGCACCCGTGGGGGTGTCGGGTGCTCCGAAGTGGCCTGAAACTGCCCCAGGAGATCTCTCCTCCCTTTGGAAAGCCTCCTTTCCTAAGGTCCCCTCGGCCACCGGTGGGGTCGTGAGTGCTCAGGCCTTTGAGCTGGAGCCAGCGCCCCGCGGCCTGCGCACCGGGTGCCGAGTCGCCTGCCGCACCCCGTCCCAGCCCATGACAGTGGCCAGAGGGACAGGAGCCAGGCTCTTGAGCGGGCTCCCCAGGCCGTCGTCGGCACCGGGGCAGCCTGGAGCCAGCCGGAAGTGCAGGGCGCAGGGTGGCTCCGCAGGCCCGCAGAGCAGAGCCTGGCGCTCGCAGGAGCAGGTCCCAGGGCCGCGGCGCACTGTGTCCCAGCTCCCGGCCCTGGGAGCCAGCATGGCCCCCCTTGTGGCTGAGGAAGTTCTCGGGGAGCCAGAGTGCGTGGGCTGACCGGCCCGGTCCCCTGGGCGGGCAGGGCTAGGGTGCAGCCTCAGCTCAGCCCCGGCCTCCTGCTGGCCTGGAGCAGCCTGACCAGAGCCCCGCCCCCCCCCTACGGCGCAGCCCTGTCTCCGCCATCTCCTCCAACCCCTGCCCCTCTGTCTCCAGGCTCCACGCAGCCTCTGTGCCCAGAAGCTGCGCTGTCCCAGCGCTCCCCCTCCCCGCCCCGCCCCCTCCTCTGCCCTCCCCTCCCTGTGGGTCAGCCTCTGGCTCAGCCTGGGAGGGCTGTGCCTGACCTGGCCCTGGAGGGGTCCTCCCCGCGGTGCGCCGGCCGCCCTGATGCAGCTGCGTCTGCACTCAGGCTGGGGTTCCCACTCGCCCGAGCCCTTTGGGGGTGGCTGGCTTTGCTCCCAGGTCTCCCGCCTTCCCCACGCCCCGTCCGCTGAGCCTGTGCGTCCCAGCTGGGGTGGACGGCTGTCCGCAACGTGGGGAGCAGCGGGGCTGGAAGTGGGCCCCTGCGGAGCGTTCCCCGGCGGACTGGCCGCGCACAGTGCCGCTGCTCCCCTGGCCTGCGGGGCCACGGCGCCCGGGGGCAGCACGTCCCTGACGGCCGATGGCTGGAACCCCGCAGATCCTGGCACACCTGGAGCGGGGCCTGGCCGAGGACGGTGGCGTGAGCGTCAGCACACCGGACAGCAGGCAAGGTCAGTGCGGCCCCGGGGCTCTGCCGGTCCGGTCCCGGTCCCTGTCCCTGTCCCCGTCCCCGCTGGGGCAGCCCCACCCCGTGCTGCGCTCAGGGCTGCGGGTCCTGCAGGGTGCGGCTGGGTGTCGGGGAGGCGGGGCGGGGGTGGGGGAGCGTGGGCGTGGAGTCGGGAGGAGGGCTGGGCCCTGCCTGGAGTACCGTGATTTCTTGGGAACGAGAGAGGAGTGAGCTGCTGCGCAGCCCTGGAGCCCAGCACCCGCGGCTCCCCCGTGACAGGCCCTCGCCTCCCACCCCTGCTCAGGGCGGTGCCCCTGCACAGGAGCCGGGGGCTGCCGGCCCCTCCTTCCCGCAGCGCCTGGCCTGCTCCCTGTCCCCTCTTTGGTCCAGGCCTCCAGTTGGGAGCGGGCTCTGGGTGGCCGCTGCCCGGCCTGGATCGCGCCGGCAAGAGCCGGGCTTCCTGCAGAGCGGCACCCGAGGAGGCGGCCGTGCGGGGCGGAGGAGAGGCCCGCTCCTGTGGGAGCGCCGTGGCCGGGCACGCTGTTCCCTGGGGCCACCAGCGCCGGCCGCGTTTCCACTCCTTCGTTGGAGAAGCCCCAGGGACCGCCAGGGCCGCGGGCACGTCCTTCTCCGTGACCCCCTTGCCGGGGAGTTCAGAGGGGCCGCCGCGGCTCTCGTCCCTCCCCAGTCCTGAATGCCAGCCAGCTGGTGGCTTGGTGGGAATGAACAGAGAGCTTACGAGGCCTGGGCTTCCCTGCGGAGGGGCGGGAAGTTCGCGGTCTGCCACTCACGGGCGGTCCACAGCCACCTTCACCAGGAGGAAGTGTCCTCTCCGGTCACGTTAGAAAGGGAACGTAGCAGCTACTGTATTTTTAATTGCCGACAGCCGGGGTCAGTCGGTGTCTAATCCTGGCAGTGAAGGTGTTTCTGTTCTCCGGGAGCACTGCGGGAGGGAGCGTGATTTCTGGGCGATCGTCCTGCCGACACTGCCCGCGGGTCCTGCCAGCGTTAGGAGGGTCCCCGCCGGGAGCGGGCCGGCCCAGCCGGCGGCCTTCAGACAGTCCAGGGTGCGAGCGTCAGCCGGACGGCGCGGACGGGGCTCGCTGCCCCCCCCTCCCCAGCCCCGGGGCCACGGGGCTCTGAGTCGCTGTCGAGCCGCCCCCGTGGGGAGCGAGGGCAGCTGCCCGGGGCCCAGGATGCATCCCGCCCCCCGGCCTGTCTGGGCCCCGGCTCATTTGTCCACAGCCCAGGAGGTTTAACATCAGCCCAGGGGTCAGAGCAGACCTGCCTCCTGATCACTGACAGGCCCGCGGGGGTGGCCGCCCCCCCCCACACGGCAGCCCAGGCAGCTGCGGGGGCTCCGGGCGGGGCGTCGGGGCGCGGTGGCTGGCGACGGAGCGGGGACAGGAGGACGGGGCAGCCCACGGCCGGTGCAGGCCGTGCAGGGGTGCTGCGGGGAGCAGCAGGCGGCGGGGTTGGCAACAGCCGGGTCCTGCTTCGGGCTTGCAGCCTGCGGGCGGGCGCCGTGGCCTCCTGGCAGCACCGCTGGGCTCGTGCCTGAGCCCGGCAGAGCTGCGGCCGCCAGCAACTGGCAGGGCGGCTGTTCCTGTGGGAAGGGTGAGGGACCTGAGGCCTGGAGAAGGGGCGCCTCCCGCCGGCCCCGGGGCGGCCGACCCTCCCGCTGCAGCCGTGGGGGCTGGGGCTCTCAGCTCTGGGCTCTCAGGGCTCTCACGTTGCCCCCCCCCAGGCTGCCTGCCGCTCCCTGCTGCTGCGGGTCCCTCCCCTGGCCGACCCCTTCCCAGAGCCCAGCGCGCTGGCCTGCAGAGGGTGCCAGCCCCACAACCGTGCCTGCGCGGCCGACCGCCTGCTGACAGGCTGCGCGCTCACTGCTGTCCCCTCCCGCAGCCTCCGTGCAGCTGTGGCGGTCCCGCCTGGGCCGGGTGACGTGCTCCATGGCCAACTGCCTGCTGCTGATGAAGGTGCGTGGGGGCGGGGCAGGGTGGGGCTCGCGGGGCCCGGGGACCCTCGGCAACTGCTGGGCCTGCTGCCCGGGGTCGGTGGCTGCGTAGGGAGCTTTGACGGGCGAGTTTAATTGCCCTGCCGGGGTCTTGGGGGTTAAGTGAAAGCCTCGCTCAGACACTTCTCCCGCCCTCCCCGCTGTTTCTCTGGGTTCCCCCCAGAAAGGCAGCCTCTGTCCTCCCTGCGTTAGGGAGGGGCCTCCTCCACCCTGAGGAGACGGGACCTGTCCGGGCCGAACTGCAGTGGCAGGTCCTTGGTCTTCTCCAGTCCCCTCTCTCCCCCAGGCAGGCCCTGCACAGCCTGTCCCGCCCTGCCCGGGGGGGGGCTCCTCTGGGGGGGACCTGCAGCACCCAGCCCCCCACAAGCCGGCTGGTGACCTGCCCTGAGGCTGCCCTGCGGCCAGCGGCTGGGCCTGGCAGAAGCCGCCGCGGGGCCGTCAGCACAGAGGCGGGTGAGGGGGCAGCTGTCGGCGCCCGCTGGGCTGTTGTGGGGGGACACGGGTCTCGGAGGGCGAGGCAGGTGCGCCGCGGGGACACGGGGGCTCTCGCCGGGTCCCCCGCTTGCTGCCGGCACCCGAGGCCCGCGCCCTCCCTTCCCAGGGGGCCGGGGGTCTCCTCGCCTCTGACACTCCGGCTTCCCTGCCCAGGACTACGTGCTGGCTGTGGACATGTACCGCGCGGCCGTCCAGTTCTGCCCCGAGCAGGAACCGCAGCTGCTCAGCGGCATCGGCCGCATCTTCCTTCAGGTGGGCGCTGCAGCACGGCACTGTGCGGGGCAGGGCCTGGGTCGCTGGCGTCCTCAGCGGTCGCAGGGCAGCGGGGGCGGGGAGGGCACTGGATGCAGGCGCAGCGGCTGGTGGGGCTGAGAGGCACCGCTGCTGTGACGAGCACAGTGCATCCCGCAGGGCAGGCTGGGAGAGGGGCAGGCCCCCCCACCGACTCTGCTGGGCAGAGGGCGGTCAGCGTCTGCCGCAGCAGCGCCCGTGTGCCAGTCCAGGGGGGCGGAGCGGCAGGGCCCTGTCCCTAGGTCGCCACACTGGGAACTGAAGGGGGCGTGGCCTCAGGGTCAGGGCACCGCTCGAGCACTGGGTTCTGTCCTCCGTCCGGCTGTCTGTCCTGTTTCCTGTGCTCCCCGCCCTTTGGAGGTTTGAATGATCTGCCCAAGGAGTGCGGTGCTGAGCCCCCGGGGCGGCCGCCGCGTCCGTGCTGTGCTGCTGGGTGTTCCCTGTAGGCGTGGCTCTGCCTCGGCTTCTGGCACCGAGGTTGGTGACTTGGCTAGAAAACGGCCCCTCCGGGCTGCGGCTCCCGCGTCCCGGCGCAAGAGTGTCGGCCGTCAGAGGCCCCGGCGGGTCTGGGTCGTGCGTTAAGGCAGCCGAGGGGTTTCGTGTGTGTTCAGTACGAGGGGGTGTGTGTCATTTTTTCTCTTTTCCAGGAGAATTCTGCATTATTGGGTCAAAACGTGACTCAGAAATGTTTACATTTCACTGTATCATCTTACTGGGCACAGCCAATCAAAAAAAAAAAACACTGACCCGAGGCCTGCCATGCCGCAGCAGCTGCGAAGTGCGCTTTCTCCTTTTCACCCGCTTACTCTGCTCGATGCCGAGCCGCTGCGCCAGGGTCCCCGTGAAAGCGCACGGGCTGACACCGTAGGCGGCCCGTGCGCGCGGTTTCTGGTCCGCGTCCCGCCACGTCCTACCTGCCTCTGCCTTTATTTTTTTGTGAAAAATATTAAGTAGTAACTACTTCCAGAGTTTGCCCTAATACATAAATGTCTGTATAATGGGATGCTAGGGAACTGTACGTGAGGGTGTAGATTTGTCACAGGAACTGACAAACTGATTTTGTCAAAGCAGATTGGAGACATAAAAACAGCTGAAAAGTATTTTCAAGACGTGGAGAAAGCAGCGCAGGAACAGGACGGGCTGCAGGGGAAGATGATGGTGTCGATGAACAGGTAACGCCGTCCCCGTGGAGCGTCCCTCCGACGGCCCGCGGCTCGGGACCGGATGCCAGGCGCAGGCCGGCACGCCCTCCCAGCCGCCGCGCGCCCCTGGGGACTCGCCCGGTTGCCCAGACCCAGGGTGCCCGTGTGCAACAGGAACTGGCCTCTGAGCGCGGCCTGGGCGCCGCCGCCCCCCGCAGCCCCCCTGCTTGCGCCCCACGGCAACAGGCCACAGCGGGAGGCGCGCGCCCAGGAGCAGCGCGGGAGGCTGAGGCAGGGCCCGTCGTGTGGCAGGAAAGGGCTGTGGGTGCAGTTCTGCTGTTGGAGGTAACGCAGGTGGGGCCCCTTCGGGTCCCACCCTCAGTGCCCGCTGGGGTCCAGGCGACGGCCCCGTTGCTGTGCGTGTGGCGGGCACTGTCCCCGCCTGCTCAGGACGGGCCCGGGAGCCCCCTGGTGCACTCGCTGGCGCACACCCGTGTCCTCACCTCCGCTGACCGATGCTTTGCTTGTTGCTTACGTTCCAGAGCTTTCCTTCACCTCGGTCAGAATAACTTTGCGGAAGCCCACAGATTCTTCACAGAAATTTTGAGGATTGACCCCACAAACGCCGTGGTAAGACGCTCCAGCGGTCGTAGGCTCCCGCCTGCGGCCCCAGTGGTGGCCGGGGCGGGTGGGGGTTCTGCCGCCTGCGCCCCGGGGGGCCTGACGGGCATCCCCCCCTCCAGGCCAACAACAACGCCGCCGTGTGCCTGCTCTACCTGGGCCGGCTCAAGGACTCGCTGCGGCAGCTGGAGGCCATGGTGCAGCGCGACCCCGGGCGCTGCCTGCACGAGAGCGTGCTCTTCAACCTGACCACCATGTACGAGCTGGAGTCCTCGCGCAGCACGCAGAAGAAGCAGGCCCTGCTCGAGGCCGTCGCCAGCAAGGAAGGGGACAGCTTCAACACACAGTGCCTCAAGCTGGCCTAGGCCGGCCGCCGCCGGGAGCGCCGCGTCGTTGGAAGCTGCGCCGCCGTGCCGGTCTGGGAAGGCGGCTGGCGGACGCGGGGAGCCCCTCTCCCTGGGACCTGGGAGCCTGTGCCCTGGGTCCGAGCTACGGCTGCAGCTGCACCATCGGGGATATGAGGCACATGGGCCGTCGGGCCAGCGGCCGCAGACAGGGACTTCATGCGACACGCTGGGTCCCTTTTGTTTAATCCTGGAAGCCAGCCTGCTCGCGTCATTGAGTTCGAGTATCCTCAGAGAAGAGCTGACAGTGTCACAAACCCCTCTCACTCTGCCTGCGCACCCAGGGCTTCGCTAAGTGCGGCAGAGACGCCAGACATCACTGACGTCACCTCTCCCTGCCACCACCTCCCCACCCGCTGGACGCTCCGCCCACTTCTGACGCCTGTCCAGCCCACGCTGAGCCCCTTGGGCAAGCCCGGTGGCGGGTGGACTCCGGGTTGTGTACGTCGCGGGGAGGCGGGGGGTGAGCGGGGGAGTCCGTCCAACAAGAGGCTCCAAAAGCAGGAAACGCGGCTCCAAGCAGGTGGCCGGCGGGGGGCGGGGGCACCCGCCCGTCAGGCCGCTGCTGTGGGGACGTGGTCATCCCTGCGCTTCGCCGGGCCCCAGTCCCTGGAACTGCTTCACTTCCCCAAAGAGGCGGCCGCCGGTCCTCCCGGGGGCGGGGCTTCCTGGAGCGCTGGCGTGGGGCGCGGTGCGGTCGCCACGTTCCTGTTTGAGTTTGTAATAAAGCAAACCAACCGCTGTGGAAACAGACTGATCCTGCGCTGAAACCGCAGAAAAGGGGGAGACGGCGAGGACTGTTGGAGGCTCAAAACCCTCCTCAGGCAGAGAAGCAGGCTGCCCGTGGGGTCAGTGGGCGCGGACGGTGCCAGGGCGCGGTGGGACCCCTCGGGGCAGCCCAGAGGAGAGCAGAAGCCACGTCCTGGCCGTCAGGACGCTGAGCTGGGACAAGGCGCCAGGAGCGCCGTGCGCCGGCCTGGGAACGCGGGGACCTTCCCACCTGTCACCGCGGGAGCTGCTGCCCACGGGCAGGGCCTGCGGCCGAGGGACAGAACGCTTCGCGGCCCCCCGCGGGCCCTGTCCCGTGCACCCGGCAGGCGGCAGCTCGTCCGTCCAGCGCGCTCGGCACAGGCCCGGTTCGCCTGCTCCGCTCCTCCCCCTGGGTCCCGGCAGCCCCTCCGGTGGGGGAGGGGCGCTGCGGTCGGGGGCTTCGCTTCACCTGCCGGCTGTCGGTGCTGGGCAACAGGGTCACCCCAAAAGTTAGTGACTCAGGCCAGTGTGTCGAGGCAGTCGTGTGTCGCCGCGCACGGCTTCTGCGTCAGGCACCCGGGAGCAGGAGCCGGTAGCTGGGGCTGCCGCGTCGCAGAGAGCGCAGCGCTCCCTGACACCTGAGGGAAACCGGCGGGGCCCGCTGAGGTGGGGGCGCGGCCAGCTGAGGTGGGGGCGGGGCCAGCTGAGGTGGGGGCGGGGCCAGCTGAGGTGGGGGCGGGGCTCTGAAGCCCGCAGAGCCCCTCCCGGGGTTGCGGATGACAGGGAAGGGGAAGAAACACAAAACGGCGCAAGCACCTGTTTGCCGGGAGAGCAGGCGGGCACTTCCCTCCCACTGGAGAAGGCCCGTGACGCATCCCCCTGGTGGGGAGGCCCCGTGGCCCTCTGTTCCCAGGCTTTTACTGAACAGCTCGTCAGGGGCCAGGTGACAGGAATGCACACGTACACTCGTTACACTGGCATGACAAAGTTCACAGGGACAAGTGCCCGTAAGAAAGCAGGTGACAGGAATTCCCTGACGTATACGGGTCCGCGAGAGACCAGTCCAAACAAGAGAGAATGAAGGCGAGGGCAAGGGGGGCAAACAACGCGAAGGTCCTTCGCAGCCCGAGCCGACCAGGGGTCCGCGGGAGGGACAGGGCACGCCCTGAGGGGTTGGCTTTTAGGCCTCATTCCCCGGCAACCGCCAAGGGACGAGACTGCCGCTCGGCTGCAACGAGGACTCTGGCCGTGTCTGAGCTGAGCCGAGAGGTGGGGGGGCCTTTGTGCCCCTTCTCTGTGTCCCCCCATTTCTCATCTGCTGCCCGTACAGGCCAAGGCCTGTCTTAGGTCGCCCCCCCGCCGAGGGGTCTTACCGTCCTTGGCAAGGACCTCACAAGGCAAAGCGGAGGGGCAGGGCCCCACCCCTGACGGGGGGCCAGGTCACGTCGCCTCAGGAGCCTGTTTCTCCAGGGCCCCCTGATTATTTCCAACCTTGGGGCCCCCCCCAGCCTGTCGGCAGGGTTGCAGCTCCTGGAACCAGGCCGGGCGTTCCCCAGCACGAGGCCGCTGGGCCCGAGGAGCTGCCCCCAGGCCCCGTGGCTGCCGCGGGCCTGACCGGGCGCTGGCCTCCCCGAAAGGGGCCCCGGCCGGGGGGCGGCAGGAGCCCCGCGCCTGGGGCCCGGCGAGAGCGTCACGCACGGTCACTGCCCCGGCGGACCCGGGAGGAGGAGAGTCACCGCGTCCAGCCCACACTCGGGGAGAATCGGCTTCGTTTTCAGGGGATGTCGTCGAAGAACGTGCGCACAGTTTAAATCACCGCACTTAATGTTAAATCTTTCTCACGTGTCACTGGATCCGCGGCAACAGGGAGAAGACCCAGCGCTCGGCTGCCTGCACACGTGGAAGCCCTGAAGGTCAGTTTCCCGCGGCCCCTGCGGCTTGGGCTTCCCCGCCCAGTGCGCGTGCCTCCCCAAGACCGGTGTGGCGGTGTGAACGACTGAACGTGAAGACTTTTTATTCGTTTTAAAAATACAGAAAACAATCGGCCCTTCAAACCATGATGCTGATCTTAGGTTTTTTAAATGATTATAACAAGCTAGGCATAATTGCGCCTCAGGATTATTGAATAAAAAATTAATGCACCATTTTCTAGCTAAAATTCAGAAGCTTGACTGTAATAGAATATACAGCAGGGTTTAACCTAGACTCTCACCCTGAACAGACCAGCACGTAGAATTCACAGGACCCACAGACCCGACCACACGGAGGCTCTACCCAGGGCGGCCTCAACGAGCCGCAGGCCCCTGAATCGAAGGGGATGCCGGGCCATGAGCACAAAACCAAGGCAGCTGCTTTGTGTTAAACAAGAAAGGTGTGTGAGCCACCGCAGGCCCCCGGCACGAGGGCCGCCCGAGCCTGCCCGTGCGCGCGCTTCCCCCCGCCGGCCCTGGCGGCCACCCTCCCGCCGCTCACAGGCAGGGGGGCCTCGGCTGCGTCCGCTAAACGCCGCGGAATCAGGTCCCGGGGGACGGCTACGCAGTGACACTTGGGGATGTGAAACTCAAGGGGTTTAAGCAGGGCCCGTGTGTGGCACAGGGGGACACGATTAGAGAAAAGGAATGGGACTGTCCCCGTTCCCGCAGTGGCTTCGACTTAAAAATCTATTTCACGGCTCCTTGCACTAAGGCATTCTGATCAGTAATCTCGCAAAGGGAGGCTCTCCCAGCCTCCAGCCCCAGCACAGAAGCAAGGAGAACACAACAGACTGTCCCCGCGGTCCTGCTCAGGACGCGGGGCAAGGGGTGTGCACCGCTACGCCGTCTGCGCCAGGAACGCCATGTACTGCTCCCGAGCCGCGAAGTGGTCCGCCGGCCGGTTGTACGCTGTCCACACCGGGTCTCCCACAAACAGCCGCATGGCCTTCACGTAGTTCTAGAGACACACAAGCAGATATACACCAGCCAGCGAGATAACATCCCTCCCTGCGCTCAACTCCCACGTCTCAGCACGTCTGTCACATTCCACCCTCCGGGCACCTGAGCGCAGAGGGACGGCCTGTCCCACGGGCCCCCACCTGCTCGTCCAGAGTGAAGCGGTGGTAGATCCCCGCGGGGAGAGTGATCAGGTCGCCCTTCTGCACGGCGATCCGCACCCACCGGTCCTCCTCATCCCTCACGTCGAAGTACCCGCTGCCGTCCAAGACGTAGCGGATCTCGTCGTCCAGGTGCAGGTGCTCCTCGTAGAACATCTTGATCTACATACAGCACAAGGGACAGCGTCTGAGCCCCCGCGGACGCGACCGGCGGACGCCCACGCCGGCCCCCGTCCGGGCCTGGCGTGCACAGGAGGTGGCGCCATAGGAAGAAGGGGGCAGGGTCCAGAATATTTTATGAACCCTATCAACCAACCAACAGGAAAAGCGTTAATGCTAACACAGCACTCGGCACGTGCCGCGCAGAGTTCCACACACACACAGGGGCTCCCTGGGTGCTGTCCGCTGTCCCCACAGGACCGAGGAGGAAACGGGGCACAGACAGGCTAGGTCGCTGGCCCGGCGTCACGCCGCTCACACGTGCAGAGCAAGACCTCCAGAGATGCCCGGACTCCCGCTCACGACCCAGCGTGGATCACATGCAGCCACATGATCGCAGCCACACACTCTCATGCTGATCACACTGGAAGGTCAGACGCCACACCAAGTCTGAGGAAGCCAGTCGCCATCTTACAAAACAAAGACCTTCCATTTGTTCAACTCTGCTTTTGTGCCTTCCCCCCGAATGTCTTTTAATAAAAATAGGCAAGTATGTGTCACTGATATAAAACGTAACGGGCACATCGAGAGACAGAAACCTGTGTCTCAGGAGTGAATAGAACGCCCCCGCTCCAGCGACCCCAGCACGTCACCTTCTCTTCGTAATCCGGCAGCTTCTCCCTGCAGATGGTTATGATGTCCATCCACGAGTAGTTCCTCTCTCTGCGGATCTTCTCCAGTTCCGGGTCGTCCTCGTATCTGTCAGCATCCAGCTGCCAAAGTTTAACCCACAGACAAGAGGCCGCGCTCGCACCGGGAGACGCGCAGCCGCTCTCTCCCAGGACGCGCCACCCAGGTGCTGTCGGTCCTGCTGAACCTCCCTCCGCCCCCCCCCCCACCCACTGGCTTTCCCATTCCCAGAACAGCCAAAAATACCGCAGCCGCGTTGGAGCCCCGCCCCCTGCTCCCCAAGTCCTTCCTGGGGCTCCTTCTCACCTTGCGGCCCCCGCCCCGACCCGCTCAGGGCTGGTGGCCTGCAGCCTTGCGCAAGGACAGCGCCCCCCCACCGCCCGCCCCCGCGCTGGGCGGCGCCCCCCGCCCGCAGCTCCGGCGGCCTCTCCGCCGTCTCCCCCACCCCCACCCTGTCTGCGTCCTGGGAGCCTGAGGGTGAGGCCCAAGCGTGCCAGGCTGGGTTAGGGCCTTCTGGCACCGGGTCTCAGGTGCCCTTTCCTCGCCTCTGTCCTATCCCCTCCTGTTTTGTTTTGTTTTCAATCTGCACTGTGAACCAGATAGGAGTATTCGCTACTCTCCCAACATTCTCGCTGCCTCACCTGCCCACGCCCTTGTTCCTGGCCGCTTCCTACACCGAAGACACGCTCACCCTGTTCCTTTGCCACTGGCCGCCGCATCTCTAAGGCCTGGTGTCCAAGTCACTTCATGAAGGCACCCCCGAGGGAGCCAGCCAGGGTCGCGCTGACCTCCTGAGTAAAGCTACTGGCAGGGGCCCCCGGCTGCTGCGGCTCAGTGGACTGCGCGCCGGCCGGGCAACCACGGGTCGCAGGCTCAATTCCCAGTCACGGCACCTGCCTGGGTTGCAGGTGAGGCCCCCAGTCGGGGGCGCACGAGAGGCAACCGCACATGGATGTTTCCCTCTTTCTCCCTACCTTCCCCCTCCTCTAAAATAATTTTAAAAAAACGAAAAGCCTACTGGCAGTGAATTCAGCACGTTTTGCTGTAAACTGCTATAAAATGAGCATTATATCATGAGTACTGAACAACACACTCCCGAATATCTCAAACTAGAACGCCAAAGATGAGCAGATCCGCCACAGCGAAGCTCACTACCGCTCGGCACTACAACAGTGAACGGGCCGGGGTGTGGGGGTGTGTGTGGGTGGGTGGGTGTGGCAAAGAGCTTTCGGTCGCCCCGGGGCCGCTAGGAGCGGGTGTGCAAGGCGCTCCGCCTGTTCCCCCGCCCAAGACACGGAACACACGCAGGGCGCTCCGAGCTCCCGGCCAGCGTCGTACCCGGGGGGCCTCGTCCCGCCCACGGAACGAGAACGAGGAGGCAGCCGGGTTTGCTCGAGGGCAACATCGGGTCCCTCGCGGACACCTGCGGGGAGACGGCGCCTCCCCGTCACAGTGACGCCCCGAGTGCAGCCAGGCCTCCTGATGGCTTGGGCTGCGGGTGTCTCCGCTTCACGACCAACGAAAGTTGTTCTGCGGCCGTAGCAGACACAACACACCCTTCCATTGCTCGGAAGCGCTCGCTCTCAGCCCAGGAAGAGATAAACAGCAGGTACGCGATCAACAGGCGCAGCAAGCGCACAGGCGGAATCCCGGGCTGGCGCCGACGGGACCTGCGCCGAGAGCGCGGGCCTCACAGCAGCGGGCGGCCCCAGCCCGCACCCCTTCCCGCTGGCCCCCAACTCGGCCTGCTCGGGGCCACCCCGGCTCGTCACAGCCGGCGCGCCGGGTCCCACCAGGCTCTGGCCTGGAGCTGGGAAGGTGGACCCGCCAGCGGCTGCTGAGCATGCGCAGCGCCGAGGCCGCAGGCCACCAGGTACGTCTGCTGAGCGTGCACGGTACGCCCTGGCCAGCGGCCACCCGGTCCCGGTGCTGAGCATGCGCAACGCGCCCCGACTGCTGAGCATGCGCAGTACCCCGCCGCCAGCCCCCTGGTCCCGCTGCTGAGTGCGCGCAGCGCGATCCCACCCTGTCCCGGCCACCGTCCCGCGCTCGGCGGAGCCGGGGCCGGGGGACTACTGCGCGGGATCAGGGGCACCTAAGGGACCACCTTGCCCGCCGGCCCCGCGAGCTCCGGGCCGCGCCGCGCGCCCGCGTACCTTCCAGTAGAGGACCCCGAGCCGGCGCAGCTGCTCCAGGCCGACCGGACGGGCGGGCTCCGCACGGTGGGGCAGGCGGGGGTCGTCGGCGGAGTCGTCCATGTACCAGGCTTGCACCATGGCGACAGCGGCGACGGGCGGGCAGCACTGAGCGGCCTGAGCCCGGGCGAGCGGGTCTTGAGTCCCCGGGGCGGGGCGGGGCGTAGCAGGGCCGGCGGGGGCCGAGCCTCTCCTGACTCGGGGGACGGGCTCCTGGCACGCAGTGGGGAGGCTGCTCCGCGAGTAAACCCGGGCTCCAGGCCGCGCTGCCACCTCCTGGCGGCTGCGGTCCTGTGCTCCTCCAGGGCACTACCCTGGTACCAGACAACGGGTAGTTGACCGCAAGGAGCAGAGGCCAAAGTAAATGGCCACGCGGCCAGGTCAAGCCAGCCCCCCAGGTGACCCTCCAACGATGTCTGCAGTACCACCTTATTTCCTTTCTTTAAAGATTTTTAGAGGAAGGGAGGGAGAAAGAGAGGGAGAGAAACATCCATGTGTGGTTGCTTGTCGCGCACCTCCTGCTGGGGACCTGGCCCGCGTCGGAGGCACGGCCTCCGACCGGGAATGGAACCTCTGCCCCTCTGGTTCGCAGGCCAGGGCTCAGTTCGTGGAGCTGCACCAGGCGGGGCCCCGCCCCATGATTTTGAATAGAGTGTGTCCTAGAATGAAAACAGACAAAACACACCCTGGCAGGTGGCTCAGTTGGTTGGCGCGTCCTCCCCATACGCCGAAGCTGCTGGTTTCACCCCTGGTCAGGCCACACGCAAGAATCCACCGGTGGTTCCTCGTTGCCTCGTGGAAGATGCATCAGAAACGAATGCATCAATAAGTGGAGCAACAAACTGTGGCCGGAAAAAGCGGCCACTTACTCCCTGACAGGCTCGGGGAGGCCTGCGTGGGGCTTACACACTCAGACCTAAAGTAACCACGTAAGATGGTCTAAAATTAAAGCTCCAGCGAAGAGCGGGTGGCGGTGGGCAGTCACGTGCTGGGGCGCTGTTTGTCCCTAACAAAGGTAAGGCTTTACCTGGCTGAGCCCAGCCTGTCTTGGCAGCTAAGGTAACATGACTTTGGTATCTCAAAATAATTCCCTCTTCGAACCCCTCAAAGCACAGCCACCGCCGCAGAGCAGGGACCACGGCCCCCCGCTGCCACCGCTGCCACGTGGATGGTTCGCTGCCAGCCGTCCGGTCCCCGCCTGGGTCTGCTGCTGTGCTTTCTGTCCAGTCCCACGGGCCTCCCTGCTGTGCTTGTGCCACCTCCCTGATCGACCTCTCACCAGTGGACCCTCTCCGGTCTCCCCTTTGAGTCTGACGTGTAAAACAAGTGGTAGAATTGCCGTCTTCCGGAGCATTTTCTCAGTCCCTTGAGACTTTCTTCCTGGCGATTGTCATCAGTTTGGCTCAAGGAAACGCATAGAATTCTTACAGGTTTGGCTGTTTCTTATGTCGGCAAGTCAGTGGGGTTCTCTCTCCCACTCCTCCCTGCTCTAAAACCAATGATAAAAAACCACAAATTCCCTTTCCCAGTCCTCGTATTTCTTACCAGTTAAGCTGATGGGAAAGGTAAACCCAGCTGCTCACTCGGCCTGGCTTGATCTCGTCAAAGCAGCCGACGGGAAGGATCCGGTTAGCCCGGCCCCTCTCCCCAGGGCTCCGGGAACTGCGCACCTGCAGGACTTAAACCTGCTGGGTGGCCTGCTGCCAAAGTACGCGGGCGCAGTCGGCTCTAGGGCTTTCCAAAATGCGCAGAGAGCGTACATTCATTTATTTCACTTCTGTTTCTCCACATCCTCTCGTTAGGGAGCCTTCTGTCCAGCTGCTGACCAATAGCTGCCCGTCCCCCAGGGCTCCACCTTAGCCCCTGCGAAGTTCCCGCTGCTCCTGTCACCTCCCCTTCGCCACCGAGGAAGCTTGTTCCCCCAAGGAGAACACGGCCCCCAGGGAGCCCAAGGCCAGGGTCGCCGGGGCAGCCAGTGCATCGGGTCTTGCCAGCAAGCCCGCCACAGGGGCCAGCTCCCTCCTCGGGACGTTACCTCCTTTCCCTCCAGCTGGCGGTCCTGCACCCCCCCGCCCACTGTGTCCTGGAGCCCTCGCCTCGTCCCGTTTCCTGTCCGCACGCCCTCTAGGTGCCCTCCCTCCATGACAGGCAGACGCCCGCAGTGGCGCTTCCAACCCGCACGTCTCCGGGGACCGGACTTGAGCGCTCCCTCGGTGTGGCCACGGGTGTGGCTGCCGCGGCCTCGCACCTGAAGCGACCCCGTGGCGGCGGCGGCGGCACCGCCCACCACCCAGCGGCGTAGCCCGAAGGCTGGGCCTTTCCTGCTTCCTCTCTCCGCTGCCTCCACACGTGGCGCGGCCTCTCGGCGGCCCTGTTGCTCTGACCTGCAGACACCTCGGGTCTGTGCCCAGGAGGGAGCGGGCGAGGCGGGTCGTCTGCCTGGCCCGCTGTGGCACGTGTGGGTCCTTGACTGTGCGGGAGATGTGCCGAGATGCGCGTCTGGGTGATTTTGAGAGCGCGTTTATCCAGGCTGGGGACAGTGAGACAAGGAAGGAGCAAGGTCACAGCCACAGGCCTGGGCCACGGCAGGGCTGCCCCCTCGGGAGGGTCGCAGCGGCAGAAGCGCGAGCCGCACCGGGCCTCCTGGCCGGTCCCTGCCAGGGACAGGTCCCCTGGCTTCTTGCTGGCATGGCCCTGCCCGTCGCTCTGCTGGCCGGGGGGCAGGGGGCCCTGCCGCTGAGAGTGAGCCCCGCCTCCTTGTCATGTGACTGCGGTCCCCTCTGCACCCAGCAGCCAGGTGACCTTTCAGAAATACCAACTAGGCTGGGGTGGCTCCGTGGGGTGAGCACCAGCCTGTGAACCACAGGGTCGCCGGTTCGATTCCCAGCCGGGGCACAGGCCTGGGTTGCAGGCCAGGTCCCTAGCAGGGGGCACGTAAAAGGCAACCACACTCGATGTTTCTCTCACTTTCTCCTTTCCTTCCCCCCTCTCTAAAAATAAATAATAAATAAAAATATTTTAAAAAAGAAACACAAACTAGGCCCCAGGCACCTCTGCTGCAACCCTCTCCTCTGTCCCAGCGCCCCCAGCCCCGGCCTCCGGCTCCTGACCTCCCACCCACCTGCCCCGCCCCCGCCCCCGCAGGCTCTGGCCTCTCTGAGTCTCAGCTGCTCCTGCCACTGGCCTTTCCCAGGTAAAATGCTCTTCCTTCCTGCAAGCACTTCTCCGTGTACTTGCATTTTCAGCTCAAAAATCCCTCCGAGAGGGGCCTTCTCTCCGCCCCGCCCCGCCCCCACGCTCGGAAAGGTCCGCCAGGCACGCTGCCAGGCTCGTTTGTAAGGGTTTATTGCACTGTGGGCGGCCTCCACCGCAGCGCCGCCCCGACGGCACCTTGGAGCTCAGGGTCACACTGAGCCTCAGGGCTGTTGCGCAGCCCGGTGCCAGCGCCTGGCCCAGCGCCGACAGGAACGCAGTGCGGCGCGGGAACGGGGGGCGGGGGCGTGCAGAGACGCGCTGCGGGGGGCCTCCGCACGTGGCCGGGCGCGGGAGGCCGGGCTGGAGCCCGCGGCAGGAACCGGGCCCTTGGGCGGCGGGGCTGTTACTGAGCAGGGCAGGGAGGGCGCGACCCCCTCCCGCCAGGTCGCCCTGGGCTTAGAGCTTGCTTTCTCTGTGCGGAGGAGGAGGGGGACTGCTTTATGTCCTAAAAAGGTGTTTGGGAAAGCGAGCCTCCTGGACCCCCTGGGAGCTGCCAGGACCCAGGCCCTGCAGGCGGCCGGGCCGCGCTGGCGCTCGTTGGCTTCAGGGGACCCTGCTGGCCCACGGGATTCCTCCTGCCAAGGGGACCCTTTGGAATGTGAACGACTCCTTCCAGGAGACTAGCCAGCCAGCAGCAGCCCCCAAAATACGTTTCGTGGCTAGAATGTACCGCC